GATAAACATAATATTTTTATGAATTAATACTTATACGTTATATAATTTTCTATTTTTTTTTTCTTAAATATGCAATAACTAGTCGAAATATATAAAATATCTAACGTAATTAAAGACTGTTTCAATAAATTAATACAACGTTCGTTAAAATGTGTGTACCGAGGATGTGGCAATCTATTCATTAATAGTTTTAGCAATATTCGTGTTTATATGAGGGAATGTATTTATTACAATTAATAGGACCAATAGAATATACTTTTCAGATAATTAATTACTTTAATTTGCTGTAACTCGTATTTTACAAGTTTGAATAATTTATATAGATAATTATAGAAATATGAAATCTAAAATTATTGAAGTTGAAATATATTAATAATAAGAGAATTATTAAATAAAAACTTTATAAATGAATTTTGTATTCATAATTCCCTTTAAAGTTTCTTTTAGAACATCAACAATCTATCCATCATTAAAATAAATGTAAAGAGATTACATAACTTCAGATAACAATAACTAAACACTTTTTACATTTTCCAATAATTTAAAAGATTTTATAATTCCGGCTAGCTTTACAGATTTGTATGCAAATAATTTATATTTTTTCTATTATTATATAATGAAGTTGACATTTGTTAATAAATATTCACGCATGCGCATAGGCCCGCGCTTACGTATCAACATACGCAATATGTATAACTTAAAACGTTTCCATTTGTACATTTTACGATTGCATAAATGAAGCTTTGTGCTCTTTAGGTTAATTAATAATAAGTTAAGAACGTTTATTAAAAAAAAGTAATCGAGAGATTTTTAAGTTATTACTATGGTACATCGTAACGCACATATGTACCACATGAATAAATTAAATATTTGGAACTAAATAGAAAATCACATCGTTTCGTAATTATTAATGTTATGCTTCAATGTTATTATTATGATTATTATGATTATTATTATTCTATTTACTATATTTATTGAAATTAGACGATGTAGTTATTTCATGAATGGAGGTTTCGATATAAAGAATACAAATTATGTCTCGCTTTATTTTTATAATAATAAAGGATATATAATAACGGAAAATCCTTTACATTCTAATAGATATGTATGTAATTTAATTAAATTGAAGAATCACGGCATATTATGTTTTCTATAAAGAGTAGTAGAGGTTTATTTTCCATATTTTAGGAGAATCTCATTATTTAAATAAAAAAAAATAAATCCAATGCAATTCAATCTTTATAATATAAAAATAGTAAGTATCCTGCGAGTCTCTATATTGTTAAAATAATTTTGATGCTAAAGGTGCTTTTGACATTTTACAATTAAAACAAGTAATTAATTATCATTATTGATATTATCCAAAATCAAGCGCTGTTTATAAAAATGTTTTTGATCTATTTTGTTAAAATTTCTCCTTCTTCATTTCATGAGTGCATTAAACATTCTTTATCGTTATAAATAGTGCATGTTGAAAAAGTTTTAAACGACTCGAGTAAACTTTTTGAACTTTGACCTCCTAATTTTATTCTTACATCAATAAATACATCATTTCACTTCCTTACAAATATGATCTTATTATGAATTGGAGTCCTATATTATTATTATGGGACCGTCCAGCGATTTGATATTCGGTCATTCAATGTTCATCATTTTTACCGTAGAACTACAAGCAAATTAAGGATTCGCTCAAATATTTTATGAACCTGCGCAACGAATAATGGCGCCTGTAATTCCTTTGTTTCCAGTCGATAAATAGCATATAATAATCATTACGTCCGATAATACGAACAACCTCCTAAAGCTTTATTAGCTTCAAAATCGAATATTTATAATAAATTACAATGTCGTCGAGACATTGCCGTATTTAAGATAAAAGAAAATTCTTGAAAAAATAAATGCGCACAAATTGAGTTAAGCCACAAAGCCGTTTATTAAGCGATGCTTAATAAATAATGAGGAGATCATGAGGAAGTGGACACGGAAATTTCTAGTACTTGGACTAAATGTACATAGGCAATGTTGAATCACTATTGCTCCGACGCCTCGGCAACTCAAACTCCAAAACGCGACGGATTCTTACAACGAGGAATTGAAAAATCTTCAATTGCGATTTAGAAAAAGAAAAAAATGCTTTTTACACGTTCGATAAAGTATGAAGGAAAACCGATATACTATTATTTATGAAATTAATAGCTATTATTATAAGATTATTGTTAGTAACTGCGCTCGAATATACGTTTGAATCCTTTAAATTGGCAATGTATTCATTATTTGCACGTATTGTTATATTAAATTATTTGTTTCGTTCTGAATGTGATCATTTCTCTTCATCTTTTCTGCAAAATTTCATGTCCATTTACTTCCTATTTATTATTTATTATCCTATACTATTTACATTGTTTACACTTTTTTTTCACTAGTCATGAGATCTTTACAATATTATTTTCCCGAGACATTTATTATACTATTTTTTAGACTCCTCGCGAAGTTGCAATTTAATTTAAAAATCGTAGATTAGTTTTTTATGTAATTTTTAGCTGTTTTTTTTTCAACTTAGCTTCCATTATGTGCTTATAATCATCGATTAGAAAGTTAGGTAATTTTAACTCCGAGTTTCTCAATTTGGATAAATTCTTTGTAATAAGTATTTTTTACTCTTCCACTTCGATTATCAATTTTTTTTTGTATTTTTTTTTTCGTTTTGTTTTGTTAAAAATTATTTGTCGAAGAAATTATAATAATCACATAGTAAAGTGTAAGTAAGGTTTGGTAAGGATAATTTGAAAATATTTCGTTCTCGGCATTATAATTGTTTTTTACTGTGTAAAAATCGAAAACATTATTAGTCCTGGATTTGTATTAGGAATGTAATGAAAGATTTTCTTCCTTCATTTTTCCGTTTATAAATGCTTCAAATATTATTGAATAACACTTTATATTATTAATTCGTTTGTGACGTATAATTTTCTGTTATCGTTAACAAATACAACAGACGAGTATGAAGAATATTTAGTTAAATATTTGTAAAAAATTTCTTTTAACTAATTTCCATCAATGTAATATAAGTTTTTTATTGAAAATCTTTATTGAAACTGAATTTCAATCATATTACATTTATTACAGTTCTCGGCACGAGTTGATCACTTTTTTTTATTTAATATCCATTCACATGCAGGTAGAAATGACCTTTTACCATGCCTATGCCAATTCATTATTATTATTTTATCGTAAAGTGACTATTTTTACATTAACATAATATTTCAATTCAATACTTTATCTTATTATATATTATAATAAGCTTAAAATTATCAAAAACTCGAATCGTGACATTTCTATTATATACTTGTGTCATAGCTGTTGAAAGTTTATAAAAAGTTTGTTTCACTGGAAATTTGTATAGAATTATTTAGAATAGCAGATTTCGATTACAAAGCCATTTTGACATTACTCAATGTTATAACACTTAAATTTCGTGGAATACATTTCTAAACTTTTTTTTACAAATCAGCGTTTCTTTCTTCTTCTTCTATTGATTTAGTATTTTAGATATAATTATTAAGTTTGAATTTAGTAAAGAAAAGTTTGATAATTCATCATATTATATTTATCGTCGCATTAATTTATTGTTGTAATTGTGATGATTCCAAAATGCTTATAAGCAGAGTAGGAAAAGTGGTTGAAAATTAGAATTTTTATTATTCCAGAAAGTGAAATAATGGCCAAAGCTTAATCATAAAACTATTGAAATTCAGTATAATCGAATGGGTAATAAAAATAAATAAAATAGAAAAATTCAATCAAAACGAGAACATTATTGCTGAAAAATAAATCATATAAATGGCCAATGTTTGAGGAGAAGTAGTAGTCCTTCACCCCCAGATATTTATAAAGTAACAAAGATATTTGTCAAACAGTTATACAAAATAAATACAATAATACAAATAATAATCATTGTTTGCAAAATATTATGGTTCCATATATATATATATATATGTTTAATGGATAATCGGGCTTGTGAACGTTTTTGTTTTTGATTTTTGTCTTTTATTTTGAAAACGCTTCCTTAAATATACTACGTATACAAGGAGATCAGTGGGCAAGATGGTGGATAAACTAAAATAGGATTGAACTTTGATAAAATCACATGATTTCATGACGACAGGCTTAAAATTAACGATTATAATAATAATAATAATAATAATAATAATAATAATAATAATAATAATAATAATAATAATAATAATAATAATAATAATAATAATAATAACAACAACAACAACAACAACAACAACAGCAATAATAATAAAAACACAGATGGCACACCAATACTTGAATCAAGCTAAATGAATGATGGATTTGAAATTAAATCCCAATGAAAGAATCGAGTATAAATTTTCACGCCCTTGAAACAAAGTCCCGAGCTATAAAATCTTCTAATCCTACGTAATAGCAATTTCTCTGTCATTCAATCATTCAACGCATTTAATTCTCTTTTCTAACCGCTTAATAGTCAGACATAGTATGCCCATCTACCAATCGACTAATACTATCTCACTTGGAACAGAAACATCGCCGTGAATAAGCACACGAAAGCATTCAAAGTGAAATTGTATCTCTTCCCGTGCCAGACCCCGTGCCAGACCCCGTGCCAGACCCCGTGCCGCCCGCCAACCCCCAAAATATAACCGTATCATTTACGTAATCCGTCACTATAAACGGTGGCACCTCGCGCGCCTCCAAGATGCTCGCGTATCTCACCGGGACACAGCGAGTCGTTATTAATACCGACATTAATGCTCTTTATATTTTTTTCTAGTCTAGATACGCCTAGTATTATCAGCAGCCGCGCGTACGTATGTATGTACGTACGTACCACCCGTCGTCGTACATAGGACGGGAAAGCGCAGCCGCTTATACGTGCCGCGCACTCTTGCCCACCAGCCGCTGTTACGTGACCAGCACACTCCCGATTCGCCGAGCGAATCGCTTGCGTGGGTGTAGAAGAGGCCGTCGGGCTCACGCACGGAGGCACACTCGTCGATCGGTGCGCGAGGTGCTTGTGGCTTAGTTAAGGAGAGGCCACGCGCCAAGCTGGACTCCTGCACTTTTCTCAGAGTACGCTCGGCTCGGTTAAGGTGCGCGAGTCCCGAGACGGAGAGGCGGACGGGAACGAGATGGGGTCGATCGCAGGGCTGTTGCTGCTGCTCTCGGCTTTACTCCTCGTGTAAGCTGCTTTTTCGCTTGGGAAGACAAGCTTATTATTTAGGAAGAGGGGAGCGTCCGATTAATCCGAGCGATTAAGATTTGGCTCTCCCGATTGCTCTCTCGTTGGCTGGGTATCGCGTGCGACAACCCTTCTTTCATTTTTTTTTTTTTTTTTTTTTTTTTTTTTTTTTTTTTTTCACCGAGTCGCGCGAAAGTCCCGTCGTGCAACAGTTGAGCGGCCAATGCGATTCTTATTATTCCTGTTGCGAATCGAGCCGAGTCTTAATTCTATTTACTATTCTATTGAAATTTCTTTGACGGCCGGAGGCGGTGGCGTTGGCGCGGGGTTAGGGGAGGGATCGCGGTTTATTGTTGTAGCGTAATTTGTTGGGTCGTCAGACAATTGCTTTGCAAATTAGAAGCGCTTTATAAAGATATGTACGCCGAGTGTTATTAGTAGCGCGAAAAAGTTGTCAGAGTGTATTGTATCCACGAGAGCATAATGGACGCACACATACTTTTTCAAGCGTTTATCACACTATTAATAATTTTAATTAAAAACTTTACTTTATTGCTATTCGTGAATAATGATTGAGAATTTAAAGTTTATTTTATCTCCTTGGTACGGTCACTTTAACATAGATTTTTCCACCTTTTCGGCTCTGCTTCTTTCTATTCCCACACACACCCCCCCCCCCACATTTTTTTTCACTTCTCATTTTTCTCTTCTCCTTCTTGTTTTCATTTCTTTATCTTTTTCAAGCATAATATGCAATTCTCGCTGTATCGATACGAGCATTTGTAAGTTACATTTATAATCGCGTCGTTAATTATTATAAGTCCCCATGGCTCGTTGTTAACTATTAAATAATCCTTTCGTTCCCAGGCATTATTCCAATTTGCACAATATGATAATTTTGGCAAGACCTTTTCACTTGGCGTATATGCATACATACACATATCATACTGACGCATATTTACATCTACAATGGCTTCATTGTTTTCACCGTTACAAATAAGTAACGCTCGTATTAGTATACACCTTCCGATTAATACTATCGTAAATAAGACAGGACCGTGATAATAATGCCTTTGTTTTGTGATTGGTATTTATTATTTTTTTCTCTCTCGCAAAATACTATATTATTTATTTATTAAGCATTTGGGACGACGACAGTCGAAGCGATATCGTATATTCATAGGTTATTATTCTAGTATTTTAAAAGCTGCATAATTACCATTATTAATTAATTTATTTATTATTGTAGTTGGACGCGCTATTGTATATAATTAATAACTATAGCCGAGCTTCAAAATATTAAAATATTTCAACGCGAATTGTGATATTATGGCTTTTTCATATTAAACATGCGCTCCAATGTTAATCTCCTTTCAATTGATGAAATATCTGTTATTATTATCATTATCATTATTATCATTATCATTATCATTATTATTATAATTATCATTATTATTATTATTATTATTATTATTATTATTATTATTATACAATAATAATTCGCGTAAATTCGCGAATAATACGTTAGTTTATTTATCGTATTTATCAATACAGTATAGCGCACTCAAAGTATAAATATTCCGCTACTACAACGGAAATTTAATCTCTTATGAATTTATATTTCACGTAGCACCAATCGAGGGAAGATAATGGTCACCGCGGATTTAATTTCGGATATATTGGCTGATGTGGCGAGTAGGAATAAACAAATACAAATGAATGTGAATGCTGAGGTGGCACGAGCCAAGGGGATGGCTGCAGCCGCGCTGAAGAAAGCTACGAAAGGTCCGAGAGGTTTCTTTTCTTTATTTAAATATTATGCGAAGATAAGAGTGAGCCCTGATACGCCTTGTAATTTAATTTAGAAAAAACATTCTCTCGTTTTTATACCTTAGCTGGCTAAGCCAATAATTTTTACGATCAAATATTGCGCAAATTAAAATACAAAATCTTTTACATTATAAGTTTTTAGATTCGAAACAAATAGGAACTTTCTAACGTTAAAATTGTTTCAAATTCAATGCATTAATCGGTCGTCATACAAATATTTTACTTTACTAATATCCTCTCTCTCACCTCAACATATTATTAAGCACATTATACTATGAATTATTCAGGCATACATTTTATTGAAGATAAAGTTTTCAGTTGACAAACTGCATTGTGTATACTTGCTATATACTTGTAATATATTTAGTATTAAATTTTCGACTGACGAACTTATTATAGATAATTTATTAACGAGCCATGTTTATTATTGATATTATTTTTTGAGATGATGTCATTCAATATATCATTTATCATTTAACAATATTTCACTAGAATTCATTACAATTTTGCCACCTTAATTGGGCTGAAAAATTTTAACGAATGTCAATGTTTTAAAAACAATTCTCAACGAGTCTATTCTAATTATACATGTTATTTTTTTTTTTTTTTATAATTTTCATTAAACTCAAAGGAGTTAGAATGTATGAGCGTTTACACGTTAGTAGGCAGTGAGTAATACGGAGATGACCATTAGGTGGATGAAATTCCGCAAGTAGTTAGGAAAGTTGTAATTAGCAGTGGTTTGGCTCGACTGGACTGGAGTCTCTCGAAGCGTATAACGCCGAATCAAACTACGACAACCTGACTGACGAGGTCACTAGGCCGCAGGTTAGCCTACGTTAGTCTCCATCATATCTTTATGACGGTTATCCTTCACCCTCGGATTACTACGATATCGTTATTTATATTAAATTTCTTTCACAAATGTTTGCATTTTAATAGGCCACTACTGATCACATATTTGTCTTGGTAAATGTAATTACGTTAAAGATTAAAAATTATATTAATTTTTAAGTCTCGTTCTGCATGTATCATTACATCATTTCTTTATTAATAAACAACAATTTTCTTCTTTATATTTGAATACGTTATAAAATTAAATCTCTTAAGGAGACTTTTTTTTCTTTTTATTGTATAGCATATCCAAACTTTTAATTTCATTATTAAATATTGTAACTAAGAAGAAAAAAACATTAAATTTAAATTACTTAAATAAGAAATCTACAGATTACTAAATATATTATCATCTTACAGTTTTATCAATTATATGAATATAATATGTTCTTTACATAAAATAACTTCGATAGCTATCTATGATAGCTTTTTTTTTCTTACTTAAGTGTTATAAATATTGTACTTTTTAATCAATTTAATGATATATTTTATTTCTATTTTAATAATGAATTTGACTTATAATATAATTTTGTTTTACATTTAATCGATAATACTTGCATCACAGTATAGTTAGTTGCAAATATTATATAAATAAGTAATTGGCATTGATGAGTTACTTTTTTGTAATTTTCCACAGAATTTGTTAAATAGAAACAAATATTTAATATTAGACATATTCGCTTAAAAAATATTATTGCATTTTTGTATATTATATAATTACAATATATAACTGTCTTATGATGAATGTTTATAAAATTATTTTAATTATTTTTAAATTATTTAAATAACGATAATATTTAATTATTTTAAAAAGTTAATGAATAAATTATTATCTAAATTTAATTATTTAAATTGTATTTCTCGCTATTTTGTTCATGTAAATAATCTTTGAATCGCATTAATAAGAGATGCGATACATTTCGCTTTTAATGATTATATTTTAGCATCTCAGCATTCTAGTTATTTCTCGTTAAAAATATTCTTTGATTCAAATACAAATTTAAACATAAAAGCTAATGTATTTTGAATAAATTGAGTAGAATCATATTTTTATTGATTGTTTACAAATACGTACATTAAAATTTTTATCAAAATTATTATGCACTAAATATGTATATATATATATATATATATAATATATTATTGGTGTATATTGAGGTTTGATTAGGTGATTCTAGGTATGTGTTTCCTTATTCTCATGTGCTTACATACGTAAAGTAATTAAATATTATATATTCGATAGAAAGTAAATATTGATGTTTCCCCATTTTTATGGTATTGCTTACTCTAGATTTCAATTATATTTGAAAATTTGCTAAAAACATTAAGTAGCGACAATTTTAATATAGGAACTCAAAAATAGAATGTTGTATTAAAACTAAAACTTAATCAAATCATAGATATATTATTTATTTTCAAACTCTATCGAGTTTTCTTAAGATTTCCTTTAAACTCGGGGATCTCATAATAATAAATAAAAATTTGGAGCAAACCATGCTTGAAACTTTTATTTATAATACGCAGCAAAGTATACGTGAGCCAATCCACTTCTTTTGATGTTAAATAAATCAAATACTAAAAAAATTTTTTAATATAAACTGATCAACATTATATTAAAAAATATTTTCTACTTTAAATAATGTAATAAGAAAATCATCTCTACTATCTATCTAATTTTTTAAATATATTTATAATATATTAAAATATTTCAATTTATCGTAACTCAAAGGGCATAAAATACACTGACTTAATTACAGATTTATTTTTGAAAATAATACCCTAATTTATGAACTCGGAGATTTAAAAACAAAATAAAACATAAGACACGAATCATTTACTTAGACACGAATATTTTACTTGGAAATAAAATATATTTATTTATTACATATTTATATATTTAAATAAATAATCAACCATAAATTAAATCATATGCTACATAAAATTATTTAAAATAATCTTAAGCATATGCATTAATTATAATTGTTAAATATATTGATAAATTTGTTAAGAAATTGTAATTAAATTCTAATGTTTTCTAAAAATAATAACTTTAAACTATTTTTCATATTAATCATGAATAAGTATAATAGTATTAGTAACTATATATTTGATAATTAAAAATGTAGAGGAATTACGTGAGAAACAGAACGCTGTTGGTTTTTATATGTTTGTACGCTATAGTCATGAAATTTAGCAAATAAAATCTCCCCCACACCCTACCCCACCCCCCGTTTATAAATATTTTTTTAAATTAATCAACACAAAGAAATTTTCTGTTTCAAAATAAATTTTATCGCTTAAGTGCCACTACATTTTATTTAAATTTATTATAAACTAATTTTTCCAAAACGTTGATCATTATTGTTTAACTTTTTTTTATATCAATGTTCTTAAATGTTTTACGCTTTGTCATTTACTATTGAATTACTAGTGAAATGTATAAGCGATTATTTAGAAAAAGCAAAATAATGTCATATGTGTATAATATATATCTATAATATTTATTGTATTAATATATATATATAAGTTAATTAATGCTAACTGTTAAGAAGTGCGAATAAAGACCATTTAAAGACAATTTGCTAATATAATAAGTTAGAAACCCTAAAAATGAAAGTAGAATATAATATAAATCAAAAATTATACTTGAATAGGTATGACTTTTTTTTTTTTTTTTTTTTTTTTTTTTTTTTTTTTTTTATTGTATTATATTATATTGCAGTATTGAAATTAATTATTTACGCAATTACGAAAAGTTCACATTATTATTTTCAATTTTCATTTAAGTAATGAATCACATTTATAAGATGAGCAATTTATGAAATAATAGGAAACAAACTAAAAAATAACATAACTATTGCTCATTTAATGCTTAAACAGATATACTATCTATTATTTCATATTGATGAAATTAATTAATAATCTTAAAATATTATCAATACTTTTGATGCATAATATATTCCATTATTAAAATTATATCAAAGCTTATCTGAAACAATGAAAATGACCGCTTGATCTTCCAGAATATTCGCGTCTTATCTCATAAACTATTGTAACTGTCTTATTAAATTTTTAATACTTTAAATATTTTTCAGGAATGAAGATTAAATACTGTAATAATTTACAGAACTTTAACAGCACAATTTGACAATGATTATTAATTTATTGTATTAAAATGGTTTAAAAACAAATTGTATAATATAGTTTCATCGATTATACAAAATTTTCACCTATCTCGAAGATAGTTTTAACGACGGGTTATGAGTTGTATTTAATATTTAAAATTCATAAATAGTGTATGCAACATAAATTGACAAGTAGGAGTGAATTTTAACCACAATTTTCATGAGTATATATATATATATATATATGTGTGTGTGTGTGTGTGTGTGTGTGTGTGTGTGTGTGTGTGTGTACAGACGCAATTTGTTTAATTTTTGTTTTCAATTAAAAGAAATTTTGAAAGAATGTGAATTTATGAATATATGATGAAATATGAAATATATGAAACATTTTATTTGAAAAATATATTTAAGCATCTATAAATAATAAAATTTTCAGTTGTAAAATTTTAACTAAGTTTTTACATAGCTAATAAAAATATATGCAATCTACTATTAAGTTTGACATATTTAAATTTATAGATACTTCTAAAAAGTAGCTATTTTATAAACATTAATTTATTAAAATTTACAATCTTTTATTTAATATTTTTTATTATTAAAATTGAGATAAGCTGGGTATTAATAAACAATGATTGTCCCCTCCCCTCCCCCCCCCCTACCAAATTATGAGTTGTTTTTAGGTTGTGTAGGTATCAATAGTCTTAAATATAGTAATTTTTCTCATCTACATAAAAACTAGTATTATCAAAATTTTAAATAACGGAATCAGTGCGGACGTGAAGGATAACCGTCGTAAAGATATGATGGAGACTAACGTAGGCTAACCTGCGGCCTAGTGACCTCGTCAGTCAGGTTGTCGTAGTTTGATTCGGCGTTATACGCTTCGAGAGACTCCAGTCCAGTCGAGCCAAACCACTGCTAATTACAATTTTTAGTATACATGCTGCAAGTTACATTTTATTCTATATTTATCTTTGAAACTGAGTAGATTTAAATAGATTTAAAGGTTAAAATTGATTAATTCATTAATGAATAAAAGCAATATATATTATATGTTTGTATAAAACATAGTTTTATTAGACCAATATTAAATTATTTTATGATATGAATAATTAGTCATGCATAGAGTAATAAATAGATAGAGACAAAAGATTATTGACAGTGAGTACATTTATATAATAATGAGAAATATTATTGCTTTAAATGTAAATTAGATTTTGAAATAAAAATTTTTAGTATCCGCACATTGACATTATAAAAAGTAATAATAATAACAATGTCATAAAGCATGAAAATAATTTAACAATTCATTTTTTTATCTTACTAATTAAATTGTTAAATGCATTTTTTGATAAAGTATTAATAATTTTTTTTTCATTATGTGTATGTTTCAATTTAGAATCTTTACATTTTAAGCACCGTGAAATGGATTTAACAAACACATAATAATTAACGTATACAAGCAAACGATATAAGCATAACCGTTAATCATTGATTTACTATCAAATTATTTTAATTGAGAGAAAATAATTAAAAATGTAATTATCAATTCTTTATGTAAATATTTTAAATATATGTAACTTTATTTCTGTAATTGATAGATAATGTACATTTTCATCTTTTTCTTAATATAAATTCGTGTAATCTAAATTAAACTATAATTTGATTATTTGCATCTTCGTTAATAATTTGTGGTGGCATGTAGCAGTTAATTTTTTTAATAAAATTCTAAATTTTTATACCGATTTCTTATCTGAATCGTATTTAACTGCATTAAGTTTGTAATTAAATCAGAATAATTAATGTTTTGATAACAAGTATTAGGCAATATTAAAATTTTATTTCCTCTGTAGAATTTTATATTTAAACGAAATTATTAGTTATTTGTATTGTATATATAAAACATTGTTTACATGTATTTGTTACATATAATTATATAAATATAAAGATTCCATAGATAAATTTCTGCTTTTAGAACAAATAATTTTTTTAATACTTTATAATTACTGATGTAGAGCTTAGATTTTTTCTTAATACTTAATTTATAGTTCAGATAATGACAATTTGTAAATTTTTTTAATATACTAATGACATTTAATTGCATTTAGCTCGTTTCACTCGTATTTGCAAATTTCTTAAATTCATTATTTAATATGTTTAACGAATCTTATTATGTGGATGTATTTCTTAATAGCCGAATCTTATTTCGAATTCAAAAAAAAAATTAATACTGCTCCTCACAACACTTACTCAATAGACTTTCTTCCGCGATAATATAATATATTTCAGTTGCATTGAATATTTTAATTAATGTATATCGATATTCAGATATTGTTCAAACGAATTGAAGGCGTGCGTTGATGAAATTTAACGAAACTTAATAGAATTTAATACAAGTTGTGTTAAGTAATTGCTATAAGTATATAAAATTCCTATGAGCCAGGAAATTTGAAGGAAAAGGAAAAAAGTTAAAAGAAACGTTTTAAATTCAATCATTACATCATCATTGATCATGTAACAATAACGAATGAAACTTTTTAACGTTTAATACAGAAGTTTTTAATAGTCTTCTCGAATAATCTCTTAGCTTTATGTACATTAATTATACATTTATTTATTTATTTAATTAACACGTCAATTATTACATATATTATATCGGGCACAATTACGTTAATTGTACATTAATTTAAACGCTCATTACGGACAAAATGCAAAATACATCGATGAAAACGAAAAGATGAATGCAGTGATTATTAGCCATTACTTGTAAGAAAATTTGAACTATACCATAGTGCTCGATGCTCAAATTTAACTTCATAGTAAATAATTACGAGTAGCATGAAATTTTTAAGATTATCTAAAAGGAAAGTCCATCTCGACCATTAAATCACTACTATCCATAAGTTCCAGTGGTCGGCCGTCAAATTATTTTGCACCAAACAGACAAATGACAAGTCGCTTTGTTCTGAACAGGAGTTAGTCCAATGAAGTCCTTGAAGTACAGCGGCAGTGGGAGCAGCGCGCACTACGTGAACTCGGGAAAAGATGAGAACGGCGACCCGTTCTACATTGACCAGGAAGACGTCGTCATCGGGAATACTCTCTATCGCACGGAGCGCGTTTACAATTCCACGACGAAGCAGATGGATGAAAACAAGTACACCATCGACCTCACGGACCCTGACGGGAAGCTCGTCCCCAGCCGCCGCCGTCGTCGTCGCCGCCGCCGTAGCCGCTCCTGAGCCCGTTCACCGGGATTTCAGCGTAGGAGAGATGGATCTTCGGCGGCATCGCGCAAATACTTTATACTTTGAGATAGACACAATTGGTGGAGTTTCGGCATCCTTATGGGGGAAGATTCGCTAAAGCTAACGCGCGTATCGATTTCAATATTGCACTCACTGGCACTATGTGCGCTCTTGGTGACCGGTTCGCAACCTTCTGTTGCTAGCTTTTGAATCGTAAAGTTTATTTGATGTTTATTCTTTGCGTGGTAGGGTTCAGGCACGCAGATTTAATATAGTTCTTATGCTAAAGCTTATTAAAATAAATATTGAAAATCGTCGAGTTTAGTTATTTCACGGGGCTTTTCGTCCATCGTGAATTTTTGGTTGAATTTGGAAAATGCTTGGTACACATGTCGACTGAAGAAATTATTGTGCTTCTTTTTTTTCTTCATCTTTTTTTTTTTTTTTTTTTTTTTTTGGTGCTTGCGCTTTGAAAATTCAGTGTCTATAACAAAGTATTTATAATGATTAGTAAGTTAGCTCTTAATACTTGCATTCCAATTGATTAAAATCGTTATTTGAAATCACTCGTATATAATTATTAAATATCTAATGAATTGCTTATTTAAATACATATGTTAAATAAACGCATTGGCTTAGGTGTAAATTTTCTCTGTAAATTATTGTATTACTTTATAATATTAAAAGGATTTATTATTGAATACAATATCACATAACTTTTTTTTCTTATTTTAAATCAATCAATTATTGTAGCATCTACGGCAATAATCATTCTTTTATCATAATATTATGGTATGTTTTTCAGAGACTTTTAGCTAATGAAGAGAAAACCGAAAAAGCCAAAAGATATAAGTAATCGAGCGATTTCAGTTAATCAAACATACGACTGATGTTTACAATAGGCAAATGCAACGAAAGGAAGAAAATTCGAGTCACCGATTTAAAGTAAAGTCACGCGTGACAAAGAGGTGCAAATGAGCTTTGAGAAAAATCTGAGGAAATTTCTTTTTCGAGCAGCGAGATTTTAAAATAACGATAAGCTTCTTTTGGCGGAACATCTCATGTAGATTCGAAGAACTCAATAAACCATAGATAAGAGTCTCATACTCGTTTTAACTGGGTGCTATCACACATGCAATAATACAATAAAGATTTGTGTACTCTGAAGAAGTAAAATAACCATATGATTATATAAAGCGAGGGAATTATTTCTTATGCTCCGTTTTTATCTTATGACCGTTATATTTGAATGAAATAAGAGTCATTTTATCTTAAATACAAATAATTTACTCGTCAGAGGATATAAATGCGTTAAAAGATAATGTAATAAAAAAAAAAAATAAAAAAAAAAAAAAAAAAATGAAGAAAAGCAACGTCGAATTATGCAATTGATTTTAATGCTTAATAATCGTAATTTTCCCTGCTGATTTATCGAGATTCATAGATAGGAAACAGCTTGTCTCTATTAAAACGAAACGACAATTTTATTTAAAAAAAAAATTTCTATTTTAAAAACCATTCTAATGCATTCGTATTCTTAATTATTGTTTATCTCATTAATAATTGTAAAATGTACAATATATTCAATATAGTGTGAATATTTATCTGCTATAAATATAAAATATAATACATTAACAAAGAAAGCTGTTACATTGTTTTCATTGTACGCTCTCCTTATATTGGATGCGGCGAAATATTATCCTTTGAAACATTCTAAATATTACAGATTTTACTTATTTTACTCCTTCGTCCATTCTTACACAGTGTTTTTGAGGCTTCAATTTATTCAGTGGTTCACCACCAACAACCTTGTTCATTTACACATGCATGCGCAAAACTCTTATGATGAAGAAGACGTGAAACCGTCGATGATACAATGCGGGTAATACAATCCGCTTAGCTGGATTTTTTTTGTATTATCGTGCCAAAATAAAATGAAAAACCGATATTTTTATGTCATTTTCTTTTTCCTTTAATTTGTTTATTATTATTATTTTTCTTTTATTATCATTGTTTATTTATTTATTTATTTATTTATTTATTTATTTTTTTTTTTTTTGTCTCGGTTATCGAATGATACTCGAGTGCGTCCGATGTAAGAACGCATTCTTTAATTCATACTTTGCATAACCATTAAAATGCAAAATCTACATATTCTTGAATCATCTTCAAATATACGCGAGCTCGCATAATAAATATCAAATTATCTGCTGCTACTTGATAATTTACGAGAACATTTGCGTTACTGTTGGCCAAATAAAAAAGTTAATTATTCGCAAAAAAGTCATTTTTACCGCACACTTACATCGTGTACATTTAATGAACGCTGCTAACGTTTATTTTTATCACTACCGGGATATTAAAATAAATATTGAAATTAATTTAATGATTAATACTTTCTACTTTATAAAGGTTCATGTTCATCATTATAGATTAAACCCAAGAATTTAAAGCGATGCTTTTTTTCTTCTTTTTCTTTTTCTTTAGCAAAGGACTTGAATAAAAAAAAAACCTTCTTTACCTCATTTACAGCCAAAATCATAATAATCAATTGCTTCAGGCGCATATAATCATGAAAAAGTCATAACCGATACGACGTGTTTATTCCTTCGAATTACTCGCGAAAAACCGTTGGTTTATCCGCCCTCTCCTCCTCCTCCTCCTCCTCATCCTCCTCTTCCCCAAACCTTCACCGCTGCCCTTTACGAGTGAGTGTCTCGTCTAATCTCGAAGAAAAGAACCGAGCTGAAGAGGATTTTAAGAGTCTCAATTGGGAGCAGTGGAGGACTCGAGATCACGAACCGAGATTTCGGTCACGCAGGTAAAAGGCCCAGTGGCGCCAGGATCTCATTAACGTATGTACGAGTATCTATCTCTGGGCCCGGGCCTCCCCTTCGCTTCTGACGTGCCTCTGACGTCTCTAATTTTGCTGCAAATTCCGCGCGCCGATGATTATTTTTATTACTATTTATCGTGGATCTCAAAACAACTTTCTCAGGCCTGCTCGACACGCCCGAGCTTCCGTGAGCCCTGCACTTTTTCGAAAATACAAGGCCCGTGTTTTTTCCTACCGAAACAACAGATAAAAATTAAGCATCATGGCATTATGTCAGTTTTACGAGGAGAAGAGATGCGAGGGCAAAGTACTAAGTTTAGCGTCGATTTAGCGAGCATGAAGATATTGACGAAAATGGCTTCAATTATCCTCGACATTATGGGAAATTGAAGTCGATAAAACGCGCGTGCCAATAAAATATTTTAATAGTATTTCTGATAATAATAATCGAGCAATTTTTATTATATAATACTAATATTGAATAATATATGTGCACGTTGCTATTCGAATGGCTGTTTATTTCGATTTAATTCTTTTTGCTCGTTAACGATAATATTTATTACATATGTGCCTTGATTGACAAGCCTCTTGAAACATTAAAGCAACAAATTATAAAATTTAAAAATTAAAAATATTATATTCTACTGCTTACTTATGGTTTTGCACTATAATATTATTATTATAAGTGTGTTAAATTACTTTTAAGAATGAATACAACCAATATGCTATTATTTCGTGCTTCTTACCAACTCAAAATGATTTTTCAGGTAAATGACAATGATTGAGATAATTTTTAAGGAATTTTATAGGGAGTAAAATGTAAATATTTTTTTTTTTTATTTTTTATTTTTTTTTTTATATAAATTCAAGGTTTTCCTTTGCTTAAATAGTTTTAACGTATTTAAAAGATTTATTGAAATATTCATGTATACTTTCATATTACCTAATTAGATATTAAGAGTTCCAAATGACCACCCACTTTTAACATGGATGATTTTGTAGTTAAACAAATAAAAAAAATCAGTATAATCAATAAATTCGACGATGGCTACGCGAAAATTTACATAAATATATTTAGAATTAAATATTTTTATTTCCAAAATCAAAGCAACATTAATTTTATTATAATATAATGAATCTATTCTATATAAGCAATAAATCGTAAACAAAATTATAGTTTCACTAAAATTTATAATTCTAAATTATTATCATAAGTAGTCTTTAATGACTATTATTATACATATATGTCAATCTGATTTAATTATACCAATGTAATATTTATTAAAACAGAATTTTAATTAATGTCAGAGCTTTATACGAAAAATTTTATTTGAAAAATAAAAAAAACAATTTTATTTAGACACTCGGGATGTATTTAATTAATTTTATTTGTTCTGTAAGAGTCGTGCATAATTCATTAGTAGATTCTATAATTCAAAATTGTTTCCTGAAAATTTTATTTTAATTTTTTTTTTCACATAACATTAATATATATTTACTTTGATTGAGCTCGAAGAAATAAAAAAGTTATCGTAATATTTGAAATGTTAATCTTCTAATTATTTCACGTAAATTAGATGTTTATTATAGAATATATATAAAAAAAAAAAAAAAAAATTGACTTAAGTAGAATAAATGCAATTAAAAATTAATGATGCAAGTTATTACAATAATGATGTTAATATTAATGTTAAATGTAAAATTCCGACATAATTACGCATAAATCGATAACTATTTTGCGCAATATGTATCGTGATCTCGACATAGAAAAAATTATAAACAAACGAATTTTGAACGAATTTTACAGACATGCATATATATAATTAAAACAATGCTTCTATTTTATCAAATAGTATTTTCCAATTAATTGTCTATTTATATTTATAAAGAATGTGAAAACGTTGCTTTTATACTCAAATTAATGTTAAAATGGTACTGGCCATTGCAATTTATACGTTTTGCACTTATAGCCTTAGATTTGTGAATAACCGTAAATTTATGAGAAATATCATAAATTAATGCGATGCAATAATATGCAATAATACCCATAGTAATTAATAATCATAATTAATAAAATAATACTGTTTCTAGTTATTTTTTCACAAACATTCTTTATGAGATTTAAAATAATTGTTGTGTATATTAAAAAAATTATTTCGTGTTTATGTGCATATGTATAAGAGCATGTGATAATTGATAAGTTTTTCTTTACATATGTGGTTATTATAAATATTCTATTTATACAAATATCCGAATGAACAAAATTATACATCTTATAGCGTAGCGAGAAAACGTAAATACTATTAATGCATAATGATTGGTCATATGACTGTGAACATTAGTAATTGGGAAAAAATTCAGTGATTCCGACAGTTGATTAATCATAATTAATAAATTAGCCGAATATGCGGTTGACAACAAAAATAGGGAAGGAACTACTTCAATACAGCTATTATCATTTGGCAATGCACAAAAGAATACTGGTTAAAGTTAATATCAAGAGTATTGGAAATCAATACAATGGAAATACGTTAAGATTATTTCAACGATATTCACAGAGTTTCAAGTGGTTATTGTTGCAATTCTTCACGATCCCAAAACAATATGAAATTTCTCCTAAATGTACTGTATTTAAGTGGAACATTGGCTATTACTTGTCTTATGATTTATAAGTGTTTTACAAATGTATAAGAACATATGTTATATATGAAAATATGAAGAATAGAATAGAGGAAAATTTTTGTTCATATTTTTAACAAAAACTGAAATTAAATTCCTTAATTTTAATTGAAATATTTATATAAAATCATGAGGTATTTCGTTATATTATAACGAAGATCCATTAACAATGCAAGAGAAGATAATCGAACAATTGAAATCGTGAAGAAATTTCTTTAATACACTTGTCAATTATTTTTGTTGACACATTAAAATAATTTGTTACGCCTATATCCACATTTCAATTGAAATGAAACAATCGTTAATCTTTAGATTAATGAAACGAAAACTTTAGACTCTCATTATTCACGAGTTAATTGCTGTTGCAATTATATTTTTAATTAGGAAAATTAACTTATTTTAATAGCTCTAAGCTGCCAGAACATCTGAGACAGTCGTGATTAACTTCAAAGTATAAATGGAGTGAATAATAATATAATGACAGGTGGTAAATATGTATAATACAACTTCTATCCGAGTGGATTTCATGTTAATTATATAATTAGTGAATTAGTGCATATTATGCTTGTAGAGAATTGCCAATGACGAAGTCGGTATAATAGTCTTTATAGTTTAAAATAAATTAGCACTCCCATAATTAGATAGTTACAGACTTTGATTGATATTAGAAATTGATCTTTATATTATGAAAATATAAAAATATACGTACAGCGATAACATGAATATCCGCATCATGAACTTTAAATGTTCCATAAGTCTAATTGCACTACATGTAAATATGTTATTATATGAATGAAAATTGTGAAAATGCATCGCTATGCATATCTAATTATCACGCAATTAAAACATATAATATTTTGTATCATTATTTCCTCTCCCCCCCCCCCCCCATGTGAACTCATGTATAACATTAGGAATGAAATCCATACAAACGGTTTGTAATTAAAATTAATCAATTGAATATTTAATTGAAAGTTTATCGCTGTAAATAAGTTTGGAATCAAGCGGATCTTAATTGTAAGGTAATTCCATGTATAAACCCATCAAACAAATACTGCAATTATTTATATTAAAACGAATCCGCCTTAGACTTATTTCCCTTTATTCGATTAGATTCTAATACTCAATAATGTTACAAATGAAATTAAATCTTTTGAAATCATAAAATGTAAAAGTATAAAGAAGATTTTATATTTCTATATTTGTAATGTCGTGAATTATTTATACTCGCCACTATATAAATAAATAAATACTCGTATATCTGAAAGACTTCCATATTATAAAATATTTTTAGGTTACCTTAATTAAGCTTTATTGCTTAATATTATATTTCACCATTTAATATCATTTAGGTATTTCTTCCTATTTATAAACCTTCCATAAAAATAATACTACAATTTTAGAGTTTATAATACAAAATTAGCTTTAAACATTTTAGTATGAAATAGTTTTATCAGTAAGCTGACATTAATGACCATCTCGACAAGTATTTTTAACCGAAGATTTCAATGAAAAATATACTAATTGGTCTCTCGATTTAAATCTGATTCAATTACATTCATATTATGCGATGTTCCTCTTTTTTAATTTTGCTAGTTTAATAAATTATCATACGAGCAGGCTTTCACTCGTTATATACCGCATATTTACCTTTTATACGTTTAATATTAATTATTTGCTCGTTTATCTAATTATTTTCACTATTAGTGCTTATACTTATTATTTTTCATCATTATTGTTATTGTTGTTGTTGTTGTTGTTGTTGTTGTTGTTGTTGTTGTTGTTGGTGTTGTTGTTGTTGGTGGTGTTTCTGCTTCTATTGCTGATACTACTACTGTCATCGTCGTCGTTGTTGTTGTCACTTATTTATAACGGATTGAAAACAAGTGTAAACGTCTTCGTTAATACAATAATCATTTTATCGATTTTACAAGACTGTATCTCGAGCATTTATAATATCGCTTCGTTATTCGCCTCATTTCGCCAAATTACTTAGGCTACCTACGCGTTATGAAAATATTTTCAATTATGTATTATCAAGACATCGTAACTCAAATTAATGCAGCTTTTAATAGACTACTTCGCGGCACCGCAGCAGCTTTAATTCTTCTATAACTTAATCACAGTGCCGTTAATTATTCCATCGTTCGATACAGCTTCCTCCCTTGCCCAGCTCATCTTACTTATGCTAACGACCTAACACACTATTATATATAGCATAGCCTGCAATCCCGGTCAGGACGCTTTAGTGACGCGTTTGAGCAAACAATGCTCTCATCGTAGCCGATAAGCGAGGCGTTGGCTAAGCCACAATAAAATCTCCCTCTTCGTTAAATCAGCCAGCCAAGTAAGATAAGGAGTGTGACGCGAGTCGCGGACTCCATGACGACACTATCACCTACGCCATTCCCATGTTCCTTTTATTTACGGACAACGTCCTACGACCCCTGAACATAACGCAACCAGCGATACTCAGCCGCAAGTGAGGCAAATGTGTCGACAGGCGTCGCTTATATAAGCCGTAGCCGCGGCAGCGGACTTTGTCGTTCGTTTCCCGTGAGCCAGTCGGGCACATCCTGCACGATCTCATAGTGTCGGAGCCGCGATCGGAGCTGGAGCCATTCGTTCTCCCGGCGATGGCGCGACTTCCTGTTGTCGTGGCTGTGCTCGTCGCTGCTTTAGCGGCAAACCAAGTCGAGATTGACGGGCGGACTTTCGGTGAGTACGGGGATCGAGGGCTAAGGTGGTCGTGTCGGTGGACTTTGCACTTGGACAAACAGGGCAGTGGGCAAGTTTTGAGGACACTCGAGACGAGCGGGAATGCGATTCTGGGAGTTGGAAAGTAACTTGACGTTCATTAGAAATGCCCGTTCACTCGATCATTTATTCGCAAAGAGTCTTATGCGCGTGCCTCATTAATATGGAAGGAGCAAGGACATGATTTGATCATTGATTTTTCTACTACAGTTTAGTAGTGTGGTAGGATAAGGAAAGAGAGTGTGTGTGAGAGAGAGAGAGAGAGAGAGAGAGAGAGAGAGAGAGAGAGACAACCGTTGATTCTATCCTAAAGGAAAGTATAATGGAATTCGCGTTTATTGTGAGTATCGGAAATAGAAAGTTATAATTTCTGAGAATTTATGACCGATATTATTGTTTATTTGTTAACTAATTCATCCGATGTTCAAAGAGTTGCATATTTGATTATTTATTGCGTGAATCGTGCCAAATAGACGAGGGTCTATTTGAATGATTGATGAATTGTGCTTGAAGTTGTACTTGATGAATAAATGAATTATGCTTGAAGTAAGCAAATTTGCGATGCGAAAAATTATATTGTATCGATAATAGTTACTAGATAGAATTTCTCTTAATCTACGAACTAATTATATTTATTATACGAAAATACAAATATATTCGTGTTCTTATTTTAAGGGTTTGAAGTACTAGGCTTTTTCGTGATTGTTGTTTTGATAAAGATACCTGCAATTTTCCTTAAATAACTTTTTAAATAAATGCTCTAGGGAAAATAATTTGTATTCAGATATTGATTAAATTTAAATTATCAATTAATTCGACAAAATATCCCACATTCGATCTTGCTTACGATATGCCCTGTCACATTTTCGTTATTCATGTAAATTCAACAATACGGAAATTCAAAATTTTTGCTAATTAAAATGATGAAATGGTATTATTATAATTTATCAAGGTTGACAATAATTTATAAGTAAATAAATTGCTATATTAAACGACAGTATTAAGCAATGGGAGAATGTAAGTAGTTTTGTTTCAAGATAATTATTTTATTTTAATATATCAAGTAGAATTAATTCTTTACTCTTAATTCCGATAAAAATACTCATCAAAATAAGAACGAAATCTGTAATGACGCAGCTTTTAAACGGATTTATTCAAACGAAAGTGGCATGTACGATTAAGGCTTTAAGCAAATATCGTTAAATTGAAATTAATGTTTTTTCGGAACCCCTATGTTTTCAGCACGTTGTAAAATTTTTTAAAATGATTTATATTTTAATGAAGAATTTAATACAGAGAACTTTGTATTTTATCGGGTTTATTAAAAAAAAGGAAACGTTCGTCCAATGTACGCCGATAAACAATTATCTTCGCTATTGTTATCTATTACAATGTATGTTAGATACTGGTCTACATGTAAACAGTAAACAGTATTAAATTTTAATTGTTATTACTTTTTTTCTTTTTCATGGAGATTCGGGAATGGACTCGTGGAGACGCTTCAAGTCAAATATTCCGTCAAGTATTCGAAATAAACGCAATGTTATACCTGACAAAAATACGCAATTGGTAAGTATTGATCGTTTGCGTAATGTTGTGCTTGTAGTTAAAGAAATTTGTATTCAAATAACAATTTAATCTTGCGAGATTGCTGATCGTTAATGTAATTTTTATGAAAAAATTACAATACAATTCGAGTGTTATATTAGCAAACTATTGTAATTAAAATAAGCAAATCCGAATGAAATTTGTAATAAGAGCCAATATAGTGATAATTCTATGTGTAAATATTGCCTAAAACATAGCTACTATTTGATTTTAAATGTAACTAAATATTAAATAGAGAATATAAATTCATTATAACAATGAATAATAAAATAGCGCCGGTATATTATATATACTTAAAGTTACTAATGATGACATGCATTCGTGATCGATGGTATACGATGGAAATATAAAACAATTATTATATTACATTCAAATACTATTAGGAGCATAGAAATTAGATATTTAAATATATCAAATAATAAAAATGTGTGTGTGAACAGACATTCTCCATTGGAACTAATACGAAATTAAATAGTAATTTGATATTTCGTCAATGTGATCCAGTGCTTTCAACAAACAAGTTGGTCAAATTTTTTTACATTTACCGTTTATAAACATTCACGATTTTGCACGATATCGTCAATATAAATTTTCAATATCAAGCAATTTAAAAAAATAGGCAATAAATTCAAATAAATATAGATTTTGACGATAATTAGTAGCAACATTGACGCCCCCGTATTGGCCGGATATTAACAATAGCGGAGAGATCGGAGCTTTGCAATTTAGTTTCCGCCTGCTTCGTTACCCTATTCCTACATAACCCTATTCCGCAAGCACAGGCTAACGATCATAATAATAAAATCCATCAATATCTTGTGCGAATAAACAATGATCGCACATCGGCCTTGGAACGACGCGATACCTTATCCCGACATTTTTCGGCCATCGGCCTCGAAGAATTACTTTCAGCATTAATGGGCCCCCCGCGTGGGCTCTGCCCGCCAGTGGTGCCCAACCCTAGCCAATCAAAAATTCCAAAATCAGCGGATTATCTCACGCATTGGTATTCCCTAGCCCAGTAAGGCTTACCAAACGTGCATAGCGCCGGGCAGTAGACCCGGACACTGCAAACATCTGTCCAGCTGCGGAGACGACGGCATCCGATTCAATTTCCCCCGCTTGATGAACTACATGTGCGTGATTGAGAATCAGTAGGTGCCCGCTCCTCTTATATTATAGTCAGCCTGCCCGATGGTCAAGTGCCGCGGGACTTTATCAAACTTAAGTATGCTTTTTGTGGAAAAGATTCGTAGGGATCTGCTGCCCGGACGACGCGCCCAACGATCCTAACAGAAGAGATGCACTACCCGCGGGAGGTTTGGCCGGCTCTTTACCCGCTGTCGCAAGTAAGTCACACTCACGATAATAATAAATGTTATTAACGATAAGCGACATTGGCCTCGCTCACTAATTGAATAATTACCGAGGCTTCTGTACAAGAGATGTACTTATCCCCGCATCCGACAATCGTTTATCAAATTTTAACTTTTCATTCGCCGAGCTCGTAAACAGGAAGCCTTCCTTATCTGCGTAACATTAAATTGCCGTATAATGCAACAAGAGGACCGTAATAGTCTAACGATAATAAATAATCTATAGATTATTATTTCGAAGATTCATCTACAATCGGAGATTCTTCGATTGTAATATCGACGGGGCTAAAGTACAAATGTTGTCCACAAATATCGCGCGACCCATTTTTATCCACGAAAATAAGCAAGAAACTATCCGAATTCATATTGTGCTATAAACTTGTGTAAGATTCGTAAGATTGTGAGTGATATTTTTGCCAAGGTTATTAAAAGTAACGATTTGTAAGAGCGTTCCTTCCGTAAACGTCAAATTCGTAATTTGCTTTTAATTTTGAACGTAAATCAATTATTTTGACCCAATTACTACTACTAGGATCCATTCTTCGAGGCAATGAAAAGTATATATAAGATCCTTAATTAAATGCAATCTTGGCATAAGAAAGATATAATTTACCGACTTGCTTTATTATTAGCGGCTGTTCTCTCTTTTATGAAATGCCAATACTCAATGCTAATAAATCGGTCTTACGTTCTTACTTACGCGAAGCTTCAACAATAATAAGGTTAGAATTATTGCCTGAAGTGTCGAAGCGAAGGATTCCGCAGTGCTTTAATGAAATGCTCGAGAGCGCCAAGTGACATCGGCACTGTCGAAGCTCATTATGGCTTAATTGGCCGTGAAAGGAAACGCGCGAAAGGAAAGGTACGCGAGCGAAAGGTCGAACGGACACTTGGTTAAAAGCCTGAGTACTGGGTGGTGCTTGCAGCCGACGGGGACGAGACGCTGATGATGCCTGGTGAGACCGGCAGGAGGGTCCGGGCGTCGCGTGGCTGCGGGCTCAGCACCCGTGATCAGAGTCGCGTCTCCGGCGGCCGACCCACGAGCTCCCGAGAGTGGCCTTGGATCGCGGCCCTCCTCACCAAGAGCGAGCAGTTCTGCGGGGGCGTCCTTATCACCGACCGGCACGTGCTGACCGCCGCCCACTGCGTTCATCGGTGAGTGTGCCACTCTTCCTCTCTAGAATTCCTCGCTCCAAGAATTATATCATTATTCCGAATTTTCGGAATAAATACTACTGTCGTATTTATCGTGTAATATTAATTAAAAATATAATATATACAGCGTCCGAGGAAATTCTACGATGTTTATTAGTTTAGAGTTTGGGCGAGAGGATGAGGCAAGAATGCCAAAGGGGCTTCGCAGCATGGATTTCATTATCCGTTTCATTAAGATTTTTCACTAGCTTATGCTGCTGCCTCTTTCCGACCTAATTACAAGTCATCCCCTCGAGTTGTAATTCTTATTAAGCCCAAGATGTCTTCTTTTCAAATCTTGTATTTAATTAAAAAAGCGTCAACATTGTTTTATCTCCAAAATGTTTCTAAGCGTAGTTTAAATTGCATAAAATTATTACGACTTTAAACATTTGGCTTTTATGGATTAAATAAAAGTATTTTAAATAAAAGTATATATATATATATATATATATATATAGTTTTTATGTTAGTTTTTACCGTATAAATTTCTCTAATATTTTATGGAAATCCACAAGTCCTATGCAGCATATAAAACGGCGAAGAATATATTGAAGATGAAAAAATTTCTAAATTTTAATTCTACAGATATCAGGAGTTTTTCAATATTTTACATTGTCATAAAATATAATATTTTTTTTTTTTCAATTTTAAAGAAGATTTTTTCGCAACAATATCACAAAGCAATACAATCTCCAATTAATTCGAAATAATGTATATTTCCAATTCCTATAAACTAACTTTCAAACATCTTGTATTCACTTACTTAATTTCAGTAAAATAATAATCTTTTAAAAATCCGCTGATTTACGTATGTTTATAGCTTTCTTAAGTGATAAATTTTGCTTGATGCACAATTTCAACTCATAATATAAGTCGCTGGTTTTAGTAAAGTGATTTTTTATTTTTATGAAAAAAAAGTTCGAATGGCCAATACAATTATCAAACACGTGACTATAATTTTTCATATCTTTTAAAATTGCACTAAAACATAATGATTTAGTTTATAAAAATTTATCTAGTTTTATAAGTTGTAATAAATAAAATCGGAATAATTATTTGCTTAATAATTACTTTTAAAAATTAAATATCTCTTATTAACAATTTTATCATAATTTAAAACGTATACATATGCATGTAAGTAAAGCTATATGAAAATATATATTAAATTATGTATGCGTTTGAATTTAAAAAAATGCATTTATTCTTATGAAAAGATATCATTTTTACAAATTTAATTTATTAAAGTAAATATGTTTCTACCATTTCTTTTTCATTCGATCATACGTGTGCTTTTTCATAGCCAGTATATATATATATATATATATACATATCTTTACAAACGATACTTTTCTATCTTTAGATAATAAAATTTATAATTAAATAACCAGATATTAATGAAATTTGATCGTATTAGTTAATTGATATAATTCGATAAGACTTCGTAAAATTCTGATTAAGATAGAACAATGAATGAAATTGTTCTCTTATTTTATTTACGTCAATTATTTCTTCATCCATTCTCATTAAATCCTTTCAAATGAAGCAGCTTTCTAATATATATATATATATATATATATATATATCTTTTTTTAATTTTCCTAGGAAACTTCCGCGAGATATAACAATTCGACTAGGGGAGTACGACTTGCGATATCGTAACGAAACGCGGGCGTTAGACTTCAAAGTCATTGAAATTCGCATCCACGCCGGATACGTATCGACTACTTATAAACACGACATCGCCATTTTGAAGATCAATCGTCCGACAATATTCAATACCTACATATGGCCGGTTTGTTTGCCACCAATCGGCGCAGCTTTTGAAAATAAACAGGCTACTGTTATCGGTAAGATTACTCGAGCAATAATTTTCCTACTTTTTTCAACAAACGCGAAAAGTTAATATTACGTCGAAGACTTTTTTAAATTTCATTCTCCTTCTTCTTCTTCTTCTTCTTCTTCTTCTTCTTCTTCTTCTTCTTCTTATTCTTCTTATTCTTCTTATTCTTCTTATTCTTATTCTTATTCTTATTTTTCTCGCTACAATTAGATATCATCAATGTTATTATCGATTTAATTTATCACAGTGTGCAGTAAAGCGAAATATTAAAAATTACTCACAAATTATAAACATTTCTTTAATTTTGAGAAATATAATATTAATATCTTATCAAAAGTCCATGAAAACTTTATCGTATTATTTTCTCCCTAACTTTTTCATTAAACAATTTTGAGAAAGTGAAAACTAGCAATAATTGTCGGTAACTGATGATCATTCATAATTAATTTTATTTTCAATACTTTAAACTGAATTGGTAAATTGTATTATTATAAAACATTTATTACTTGAGTCATAAAGTTTCTGATCTTATTTCCACTGGCAATATAAAGTTATAAATTTTTTTTTCCCTGTCATATCACGTTGTCTTCGTCTATATATATATATATATATATATATATATATATATATATATATATATATATTACATTATATTATATTAAAGAGAAAATTAAGCATACCATGGAAATGCACTCGATAAATTGTAAATTGTCCTTTTCGCACTATTATTTCAACTAACTAAATTTACATAATTTATTAAGGTCTTATTGCAAATGCCAGAATTTTATTGACAATTTATTTCAATTTAGGATGGGGCACCACTACATATGGCGGCGCTTTCAGTTACATTCTCATGGAAGTTAATGTGCCGATTTGGCCACAAGATAAATGCGTCACGAGGTTCACGCAGGAAATAACTACGAATCATATATGTGCCGGGGCTTACGATGGTAATGGAGACGCCTGTCAGGTAAAATTTTTTACTCCTTTCGAAATGTTTGACAGTGTGCCGCAAAGTAAATCCGTAAGAGCGAATATTTGAATTGAAATTGAAAAGAATAAACATCCGCTACGGATCAAGGCCATTATAGTCTCCTAATTTTTTTTTCTACTCAGCTCAGCTATCCGTACAAAACATGCAGATCGTGAATTCGGATAGTAATAAAAATTTTCAATTTAAAGTGTTCGCTACAGCGTTAAATGCAACGATGTTGCGAATATATAAAAGGCAGTAGCAATTTCCAACAAAATAAACGTTTGAGTTTGGCTTTTCTCTTACTGCAACGTCCTTGTAAACGAGACTCAACGCTTTCGTCCTTTCAGCAATGTAAATTGCAATAAGACGAGTGGCTAAATAATAACGGCCTTTTAATGAAAAAAAATCGCTTTGTCGTAGGGAGATTCTGGTGGACCACTGATGCATCAGTTGAAGAACGGTCGCTGGGTGAACATCGGCATCGTATCCTGGGGCATCGGTTGCGGTGTGCCCGGTAGACCCGGTATTTATACGCGTGTCAATACATACCTCGATTGGATATTCGCCAACGCCGTATTTTGAGATCTGCCAAAGTGATGTTATGTATTGCATAATGTGCGCTATGAAGTAAGTAAGAAGGAAGTGCAACAATTAGAAATTCCAGAAAATAAAATCAATATTTCTTATATTTGTGTCGCCTTCTTTCTTAGCTATTCTACACAAAAATTTTTATACATTTTGTTATACGTATATATATATATATATATATATATATATATATATATATATATATATATATATATATAGTCATGCATGTGTGCGCGCGTGTGTGCGCGGAGATGTGTTTGTGTAATGGAGGTTAGGTGTTGAATAAAAATAGAAACTTTTCGAAAACCATGGAACTTTATTTCCGTAATATCGAGAGGCTTACACCTTATTCATATTTTATTTTCCATTTGTCATGTATAGCATTTTAACTAAAATGCGGCTTATGACCTTTCGCATTTCACATTTACATGCTTAAGTACGCACGTATATGATAATAATTACATTTAAACCTTATACTTATAGCTTTGTCTTTATTAATTATTTTTTTTAAAGAGTTTCGGTACTTAGGCTATTAAATTTTATACTTATGTATAAGTCAGAAGACCGATGGCGATGTATCACTATCCACACCATTACCGTGATCTTTATCTCTCTCGCGCATGCGTTCACATATACATACACACATACGTATACGTGCATCACCAGGCATACCGAATATTTACTTATCTGAAATATGTCATGCATGCCATTACGATGATATTATTACTTAAACCCTTTTTTGTGCATTGGCATCGGCATCCTTATTTATCGAAACATAAAAAAATGGAAAAAACGCAGGGAAAAAGAGGTAATTTTATTACTACCATTATATATATATATATATATATATATATATATATGTTGGTATGTATGTATACGTGCGTCTGTTTATGGCTCTGTGTGCGGGTGGGTATTTATGTATATATGTGCAATTTGCGTGCGCGTGTGCGTGTGCGTGTGGCGCGGGTAAACGTCGAAGGCCCAGCCTTTGCGACTTAACATTTATAGAGTAAAAGGTCTATACATTGAATCTAAAAATTTTTTTTCCTCCCATCTCCTTCTATTATCATTATTGTTTATCGCATCTCTCTATTTATTGTAACATCCAGTAAATGAATCTCTTCAACTTTATCCTTCTCTTTCCATCATTTTAATTATAATTAATCTTTCATCTCTTTTTTCCCCTATACATCGTACCGCTAACGAATTATATTCCATATTTAATTATACTATATATGATTTTGTTATGATAATTAAAATCTTAAGTCTACGCGGAATATCGTGTGCGCAGCATGGAAAATCGACATTGGAATGACACATGTTCGGCTAAATTAAACTAGTGCTGAGCTGCAACACCTGCAATACGTGCGATACGTGTATTATCGTAAACTAACGAGTCGAGAATTAATGAGTTTAATATTGAAATAATATATTCTTACGTGACAAACAGATTTTGGCTTTTCGCTATAATTATTTTATCGAGAGAGAAACGAGTTATGCCGAGATATTTTGATGATAAAAATATTGTTTGTTCTTTTAACGAATGTATTTTAATATATTTTAAGTAGGCATTCTTTAAACAGAATTACATTTTTAATTTGTAGATGTATGTTTATTCCTGGATTATAATACATTATTTATAGAAAATACAAGGATTTTGTTCTTTCAATCAACATACTTTTCACTAAATTCTTATATTACCAGCATAATGTAGTTTTTTTTTGTCTTTTTCCTTTCATTTTTCTTTCATTTACGTCATTTTCTTTCTTTCTTTTTTTTTTTTTTTTTTTTTTTTTTTTTTTTTTTTTGCATTTACGCATTTTCTTCATACAATACAAATCTACGTAACGCAATATAGCTTTAATCGAAGGTAAATTATTGGCATCGATGCTTTATATCCATTTTCTTTTCCACTTGAAACCTTATAAATTTCAATTTGAATACATAGTTCAATTTTCCTATTATATTATAATGAAAGTCTTGGAACTTTAAACTCAATTTGGTAATCAATGCGTACAACGTAGCCATACGTCAAAAGGCAAAAGGCTGACGATAAGGATTCTCGATCGCAAGGGGAGAAATTTCTTGAGAAAATTACGGAAAATTAATTCTTAATTATTCATCTTCGACGAGTATTGTACATAACGGTTTGAAAAATTAGCAATTGCAAAAAATTACTCGTGTCACGTGTATAATTATGGAGTGTGACGAAAATCGAAACGGTAACTCTATTTATTCTCGATATGAGTAACGAATATCTCTATAAGTATTGATCGATAAATCGAATAAAAGGTGATAGATGCACCTGCTAGTAAAGGATGGCGAATACGGTAACGCAACACGATTCATTGAGTGTCTTCTTAACATAAAAATGTAAACAAGCATCTCGATACTATGCTTTTTACCTTCAATGCCGCATGTTTTCAGCATTTATTTCGTCGAACATTATTTTATTTTATTGTTGATTTTATGATGTGTGCTCTCGACTTTAAGTGTAAATGGTAGTTTATGATTCCAATACCTTTTTTTATATTCGACATCAGTGTGTTAACGTAACTAATATCAAATGTCGACATAATTTTTTGTATTAAGAATTTCAATGTACCAAGACATTATGACACATTTCTTTTTAGTGACTCACCTTTTCTCCTTTTTTTCTCATTTATTTTTTTGTTGTTTTTTTTTGTTTTTGTTTTTGTTTTTTTTATGTTTTTTCTAGTTGAGACGTTTGTGTTAAGTTTGATTTTATCATACATTTAGATGAAATAAAACGCTTTTTAACATTTTGTTCTTTCATAAGCTTAAATTCATTCATACACTTTTTTTTTGTCGACAACGTCTTTCGAAATACAAATTAGAATTTATCAGCTAATTAATATTTTATGTAAAGAGATCGTTTAAAACTTAATTACGTGTACCCGTTCATTGATTATTCTGCTGTTATTCGCTACCTAAGTATATGACATTTTATTAGCGTAATTTTTCTAACTTTAACATTAACTTTTACGTTAAACTATCATTTCATTAAATAATGTCTATAATAATTATTTTAATATGTTAACAGGTCATTGAATATATTCATTGTAAGTTGAAAATCCAAGAACATTCTTTAATTGAACACTTTTTAACAACACTCGTATTTCATATCCTCAAAGTTAAGGAAGTAATATTATCATAAGCCTTTTATTGTTTAAAAGAAATGTTAATTTCACAAATGTAAATGAAACTAAATTTCTCTGTACAAGTATGTACAAATTAGATGTCGTTTAAGTAATATACTTAAAGAAAATATATACCCGATTAAATATCTAATAGAGGATTAAGTAATATATTATCGAGCATTATTAACTTGGTTTTATTATTTTAAATGAGGTTTAATTAATTGTCCATTCGTACGACATTTAGTGATGTCTTAATATATACAAAAGTATGAATAAATTATTCGACTACTTAAAAATTAGGGCATGGGGCCAAAAATATTTTACTTTTCGAATTTAAATATATTTTTGATCGGAATATTACTCAGATACTTTGTAGGTATTTTTAAAAGATATTTCATCAATATTTATTAATTACTCAGGAATATATAATTATGTTATAACTATTCAAACGTAATGAGAATTTTATAAAAATAATATATAAAAATTCATTTACACGAAAAATGTAAATTTTTCCATTGTCAGTTTTCAACAAAAATTTCAATTTTAAATCTTAAATATTGCCGAATAAATATGTCTGGCAACCTGCTTCAAACGAAAATTTAATATATGAATTACGAATAACGTATTTCTGATTATATTGTCAAATAATATTCAAAAAATACATAATTTCCTTTAATATAGTATTAACGATATTTGACCGATACCTATAATATTTATAACATCATTAAAATCACTCAGGCCATTATTAATCTTTTGCATTAAAATATATAACGTATAATATTAATGATAATAATAATAATAATAATAATAATAATAATAATAATAATAATAATAATAGAAGAGTTATTTGTTTCCAATGCTGCTGAGAGAAATTATTTTCATAATTTCCAAAACTTGAATGCTCATATTACTTCTACATCTTTGCTTATAACGAAATACATTCAAAATATAAAATAATAACATATATATCGTTTAAGTATTTGGACTATTGCCAGCTCGTCATAACCATTGTGATTTGCAGATGCTTATGGAACGTAGAGGTGCCGAGGGAATATAATGCTAATACTTTCGTCACTCTTGGAATAAAATACAAAATTCTGACAGCTTTACCATTAACATTTGCAAGCCATTACTATTTCTATTCTCCCTAATTGTTACGCAGTAAATCGTAAATAATGTTAATTCGAAATTAAAACTCGGCGTAACTACGTACATACATACATTCAAATAGTTTATTTTGAGGCTCCGTGCCTTTCCTCTTAATTTGAAAGTTCTTTTAATTGTTTGTAAAGTTTGCAGTTGCAAACAAGCCAGAGTAGCAGAGATTAAAATGTATTCATTATAATTCTAAATATATTCTGAGGAATGATTTTATCCTGTCGTATAAATTTACTGAAGCTTTAAATTGTTTATTCCTGCTTGTGCTTGTAAAAATAAACCGAATTAGTTATAAGTTTATGAAAGTAAGCTCCATTATCTATCGACACTCCTTATTGAGCTTCGCACGTACTCTCGTTAAAATCGCATTTAAACATTACTAAAATTCAGGTACTCGTGACAAAATCATCCATCAGAGTTTGGTTTTCTTAGCGCCTTAACGTATGGTAAAGCCTATTCTCACTCCATCGACGATTAGCCCTCTGGGATATTCATTAAATTGACAGTGTTCACGAAAGCGGGGCAACGGTGGATGGGGTGAATGGTTGGTGGTGCGATGGGGTTGAGGGGAAAGACGGGCCAACGGATCAAATAGATCGCAAAGCGCCATTTCCGCAATCTCAATTTAAAATCAAGGAACAATAAAAAAGCAACGGTCTCCGGCATTAGCCAAACCTCCCTCTCGGCGTATCCTCCCCCTGGCAGTCGCGGTCATCGGTCTCCTGTTGGCCGACGCATGCGCAGCCGCAGCCACGCAGACAGCCGAAGCACCGCCGAAGTCCCGCGATCCTGGGGAGCGGGAGGGCGACGTCGGTAGTGGTTCGGCGAACATTGCACTTGGCGTTTCCCCCCGGCTTTCGATATCCATCCCCTTCACGCATGTCCCCATCGTCGATTCATCGCCTCGGCTTGGCTCAGGGTGCGGAGCCCACGGGAAGAAGCAGAGGTGCATTGGCGCTGCTCTCCACGTTATGGTTTGGTAGGGTCTCGTTACTCGCCTGCTGCTGCTGTTGCTGCTGTTGCTGTTGGGCAATTACCGAAGTAGCAATGGAAGTAGTAATGCCACCGATGCCAGCGGTGCCAACGTCGCCACCACCACCGCCGCCGCACACGTGATGATGAGAGGGCGAGAGCAGAGGTGGTGCCCCATTGCCGGTCAATGTCCCGAGATTGCGATTCTGAGCCATCTCGGATTGAGATGGAGATCCATAGATCGAGTGCCGGGGTGTCGAAATTGCTGGGATCTGATTGGAGTTGATACGCGACTGCTGCTGCTGCTGCTGCTGCACGTTGTTGTTCTCCGATTGAGGCTGGGGTTTCTCGCCAATCAGCCAGTACGTCGTCATCTTACCCTTGCCCTGTTCCGATTGGGAAGAAAAAAAAGCCTTTTATGAAATTTTCGGACTAAATGGCAATTAAGTTTTAGGGAAAATTATTAGCTTATTGGCAAGTCATTTGATGGCATTTGATCGCATGACGATCCCTTACATATCAGCTGCGTTATATGCATCTTTTTATAAAAAGCTTTCTTAATGAGTACTGTTGCCGGAGTCAATTTATATGTTAAAAATATTCAAAATATATGTTCTTTTGCAAAATACCGTTTCCACACCATACGTTGTGAATTATATAATAATATAAACCTTGGCTGTAAAAATAATCAGTTCAGATAATATTTCAGCGTTGATGGAATTTTAAAGATATATTATAATGCTGTCTATAAGAACAATTAATATTAAAAATAATAACGAGAGCATTTGACATAGGAAACGATATTTTGTCATTATGATTATGATGAATAATAGTAAATATTTACAAGGTAATGAATTGGCTTATTCAACATAAACTTAAAGCAGTGTTTTTAAAATTACTTAAAAAAAAAATGTCTTTTCTCATATATGTTTAAACAAATTTCTTATTAAAAATTATTATCTAAGATAGGTTTGATATCTTAATAATGCTAAATACATTCATTTTCTATCTTAATCATAAATATGAAATATGGATTTATGTACCTCATAAATTCATTATAGTTACGACGTACTTTAAAATCATAAAATGAAAATATGATGAGAGTAGATAGAGTACTTTAACAGATGATTTTTCCGTGTGATGTTTAAAGGTACTTTTCCATCGTGTACTTTATGATTATGAAAATTCATAATAGATGAGAATTAATTTTTAATCGTAGAGCAAATTTTATATTTAACACATAGATTTTATCGTATCAAATGAGATTTAATTCCATTCGGTAAATAATATTTAAGTATATATTAATTATTAATAATAATGAATAACTACTTATTAACAAGTATCATTAATTTATTTTTTAAAATAATTATTAAATAATTTAATTAAAGACAAAAGATAATATATGTATATAAAGTTTCAATAACCACTGTAATCGGCTAGTGTAAAGCTGATAATAATAAATTTTCGTTTTATTGGCAATTCGTGCATATTTCTTATGTATTATTAAAATAATGGACATGTGAATATTTAAAAATGCATTATCCTTTATATATTGACGAATGAAATAGTAGTTTATTTTATCCAATGGAATATGATTACGAAAAATTGTACACGCGATGGTAATGCAAATGCGTTGTTATTACATTTTTTGTATTCTTTTGTTTTAATAATAATTTTAATATTGATAATTGAGATTCGGCAAAAATGAAGTAATGCGTTAATATAAATTATCGTATTACAATATTATTTCAAGCATTTTACATATGGAAGTCGGATGAGAAGGTCTATAATTTTTATAATTTTTTCGTCCTTTTCAACAAATATAATATGTATTATTTATTGTAATAAATTATATTTTTATCGTAATAAATTTTATAATTCTATAATTATAAAAATAAACCTTTTATGTTACCTTTTACTTACTTATAACTTATAAAATTTTCATCATTAGTGGTGTACGCTATGTGATAAGACTATATAATAAAGTCTTATGGTTTAGCAAAGACAGATACAGCGTTACCATTAATGTATTCACACTTTTGCTAAATGATTATTGAATTAAATAATGATTAAATTTAACACTCTCACTATGCAGAAAAAGTTATAAAAGTTATATTTCTTCTCTACGTGATAATTAAACGTTGTCGCGTTTCAAGTAAATGAAAATTTTTCTACATAGAGTCCCATGCAAACATTTTTCCTACTCGCAATATTTCAAGCGAATAATATATATTATAAAGAATTCTTTTTAGTTTACCTTCAATGTAACCTCTCCTCTGCAAACAAGATCAAATGTCCCAAAGGTATCAAGTATTTCCTTCGTCTTTGGACTTACGTGTATTTTCAGGGCTATGGAAATATAAGAAAGTACAGACAGACAATTGCAGTTATTTATTATTGTAAATATTATGTAATTGAATAGATAGTGGAAAATAGGAAGGAGAAAAATTAGTCATGTGTTATTTAATTCAACTAAAAATAAGACGTAGCCGTGTAATGACTATGTTTGTGCTGTTGGGGCATTGGAAATGTACTGTTGTACAAATTTTATGTTTCTACGGTTTTACTTTGGCACTGATAAAAAAAAAAAAAAAAAAAAAAAAAAAAATGATACAAATCAAGAGTAATAAGAAACTTTTTTCTATTGGAAAAGAACTTGCCTTGTGCCGGTATTTTTCCTACTTTTATGTTTTATACGTTAAGAGCAGAAATCGTATGATATTATATTTAATTAACAATCAAGAAGAAATAAAATTTAGATAAAATAATAATTAATATAGATTAACAGATATTTTACATTTTTTGCAATGTTTTTACAATGTTTTTACAATGTTTTTACAATGGTATGGTAATCAAACGCCGCTCGGCATCCCAATTCGATAAAAGTGAATTGTATAAGTTTTGTATTTTTGTAAATACGTATTATTTGCCTGACTGTTCATATCGTACGAAAATGAATTATTAATATGAAGTTCTTTTGGAAAAGCAGGAGAAAAAAAATAGTAAGTTTAATAATCATTTTGTATGCACTTTTCAATTTACTTAGTTACAGATAACGAGGCTAAATTAAATTTATTCCAGTCGACGAAATCTTTGTTTTAATAGTACAATCTTTCCAACTGTCTCACTTTAATCCCCTCCCCCCCCCATTCCCCCTCCCCCTCTTCATATAATGAATTAAATAGGCGCTTCCCACGATATTCTTTCTTGGGCTAAGTTTTTCACTCTGCTTCCATTTTTATTTTCCCTCAATTTCGAGACATGGTATTATGCGCAATTCGGATTTCTTTTATTTTCTCCTAGCTTCTCCTAATTCTCATTTTCATTCAGTTGCGCTCAGACTATTATGCTCCTTCTTCTTTTTATATTAAAAAGAATCTAGCATAAAATGTAATCATGGGACAAATCGATTACATTGCTCATTACTCGTATATATTGCTTACAGGCACACGAATACGAAAGCAATAACGATGGTCTTTTAGCCCGTTAAATAATTGTTTCTCGGCTAACAAGTAAATTGCTCGTTTATGTTCTCTCGCGTTTCAATTTCTATTCCAAGGATGCGATACAGAGGGATATTTACTATTTAAGACAAGTATGTGTATATAATCAGCTAAACTCTACGATTTGTGCTCCATCCATCTAGCATATTTATAAGGCCATAAATTATCAAATAAAATGTACATCAACGCTCTAATTGACTTTGAAAATCAAATAGTAGTGGCGATACATAAATAATAAAATGTGAAATCACGCAGTCTCTAACGCTAAAGTAACTCCACGAAAGTCTTTCTACGATTACAAATGATATTACGTAGGACTACGAAGAAAATCCCAATGAAAGCTTGCCAAGTGAGTATCGAGCGACGACGCGACATTAATAATATTAACGAGTATTTTATCGATGCTCTAATGCACAGACTTTTCTTTTTATATTAATATATTGGCTATGAAAATGATTGTTTACTTAAATTTATGTCAATACAATTGTACTTACTATCTGAGCATATACATCAGCGAGTATTGGAAAGTTGCCGCTGAACTTAATTAATCTTTAATTCGAAAGAGTTTCAAAACAAATTTCACTCAAGTTGGGCACTTTGATGCCACCCTTTTATCCACTCGACTATTTGAACTATCGAAGATATATTTGGAAAGTTGAGAACAACAAACTTGTGACACGTGTTTCATGAATATAACATATGTAATGTAAAATAAAAGAACGCACGGACTTTCTTATCAAATATTCGCGGTGATGAGGGCGAGTTGCGCGGCAAGTTACCAATGTCGGAAAGTTCAAAGTAACGAAGTTTTTGGTGCCAGAGTGCCTCTCCGGATATTTTGTACTTTTTGTGAGATCAGCAGGCAAAATTCCCCACTTATCCACTACACAGTGCGTGATCATCGCGATTATGACGCGATTTCTGACTTATTATCTCCAAAAGTCCAACTGCCTCTTTAATAAACAATAACGTTACGAGTCAATCTCTACCTCGTAAAAGATTCTCCAGCATTTCCGCAATCTATTGATTGGCTGTTGTCATTTGTAGATTTTTGTTGATTTGGAGGAAAAGCTTTATGAGGAAATGAATTACAATTGGATAATGGTGTTACGCGATGATGATGTCTAAAGCTTTGTTGGATTCGCCTCGACAAAATTTTTGTTTAATTTTTCCTTTTAAAATCAATCGCCACTAATGAACTTATTACGAGACATTTTACTTATCACATGTATTTCTTATTTTAATGTACCGTGTACGTCAATTATTATTGATTCGTCACTGCTTTAGAGATCTTATATTGCATACGATATAATTCCACAACAATTTGTTTCTATTATTATTATTGGTTATTATTGGCTATAGTGCCGACGGCTGCATTATAAATAATAATGAAGCAATTTGTCACTTAAATGATATGACAAACTTGTTGCTTTGCATTATTTGATTTGATCTTGCTTCAAATTGTAAATTTATTCATGAATTCGTCAGTAGGTATGAAATGATGATAGCTTTAATATTTATGAGAGTAGCAAGTTCTATTTTAAAATAATTTCAAGATTGTCTCAGTATTTTAATGGTAATTATAATTTTTAATAAATTTAATAAATTTAATAAATTTAATAAATTTAATAAATTTAATAAATTTCATAAATACGACCAAGCAACGCAAAACATTATTTACATTGCCTTATTAGCATTGTTACTTTAATTGTAATAAGGGTGTGATAGGAATGGACAATAATTTCGCAGGATTACTCGTTGCTGCAAGTGAAAATGTACTTGTAGTAATTCTGGCGATAATAGACATCCACACTGCAACGATGCGATGACTTTTTGCAAATATCAGCTTCCTTTAAAAACAATTGCGTCCCTCACATACTCATCACTACAACGACACGGTTAGTTATTATACAAGTGGAGTTTAGTAGGCCAGTTAGTGTTTAGTACGAAAGCGTCGGTTTAAGAGAATTTCAGTATCGTAATTAAATTAAATTGAGCAAGTTGGGCAGGTAGAAGAGTGTGCGTCAAGCTCCTATACAATGATCTGCATAGTTAAAATAAAAATAAAAATGTCATTCCCATAATAGTTTCCCAATGATCCCTTTTCTTTTCATCTTGGTGAAATAAAGGCGACGGTTGGAAAGTCGTCGTCATTGTTCTCGTCAGAAAAAAAAAAAAAAAAAAAAAAAAAAAAACGAGAACGAATACTAAGCACGCGTAGATGAAAGCTTCTGCTTTCGTATGCCCCGACCTACTTAACTATGACTGCAAGTCGCCAAGTGTCGAGGTGAAAAAAAAGTAAAAGATGAGCGCAAAATCCTACAGTAGATAATCATGACCGAGCCGTGGTTTTCAAATACCTTCATATCGTCTTACTTTATATTTTTATGTAAGAAAATGAATACGCAAGGCCACTGATATACGTTTCTTAAAATTCATGAACATTATAAAAAGTATTATAAAAATTTTTGTAATTAAAAAAGAATGATTCGCGTTTTCAAGACAACAAACTTACTTCTTCATTTAGTAAAATTTTGTATTTATATATAAAAATTCTCACTGCTTGTAAATTGAAAATAATTTTCTTTTTTTTTTCTTACCTAAAAAATAATGATCCTTATACCGTACGAATAGCATGAAATCGGACATCGACGTCACTTTATGTACATGACATTATTTAAGTCCTACCTATTTTTAACTATGGATAGTTTTGAAAAGATGTATAGAGATAAATTGACGAAAGGAAAGTAACAAGGTCACACGAATTACCAATAATTGCTTCATCAACCTTTTTCATCGGTTAAGAGTAGAGTAGTCAATTTATTAAAAAAATGAAAAATGTTAAAAAAGAGATGATCGAAGATTATCGATATACTAAGGTATACATATATATATATATATATATATATATATTTGCATACATTGTTATTTCCTTATATAATACTCGTAATTTTAACCTAAATTTATTTTATACGACGGCGAAAAGTAAGGCTATCATAACGTATATTATAATTGTAAAAATCTACAATTGATTCTCAATGGTTTATATATATATCGATTATAGATTATTTTTCTTTAATATTGTATGTGTGCTCTCTGTGAATCTCGTTATGTTCTACTACGAAAAATACGCTCGACTGAAGCGATGAAAGGAAGCGGTTAAATGATTTTGCGTTTCGGATTCGTTCAATCGGAAAATGTCATCCGTTAATTACGTTAGCATAGTTGAACTGGAGTAAGACCAGTACTGCATAATTCAATGGGTTATAATTTCATTTTCTTTACTCTTACACGAGCGAAATTATTTTCTAATAATTGAATTGTTGCCACGCGTTAAAAGATTGGACATTGTGAATGATGTACTTTGCTGAATTGCATTAACGATAACCGAATTATTTTTACGATGAAAACTTTACGTTACATAATTTATTGCTAATATCACTTTCGTTATTCTTTCCCATATATAACGAAGATTCGATAGATATAGTTCAATCAACGATTGATTGACTGTACGACAATATATTTATCATAATCATTCTCGAGAGCCACAAGTTACACAATACTTTTTATTGGATACAATATACTCTTTAAATTATCTGAATAGTTGTGATTTTTACTTTCTACATAGTGTTTTTTTTTTTTTTTTATTTGAAAAGATTAATTGCTTTTTAAAATTGTATTTTCAATGCGTATTAATAAGTGATTCTTGGGAAAATAATTATATATATATATATATATATATATATATATATAGAGAGAGAGAGAGAGAGAGAGATCTTGAGTACATTCGATATCGTATTTGAAATTGCTTATGACATACATTATTATTTGATCATTTTTGGCTCATTAATGTTACTGAACAAAATAATAGCAATGCTACATGAGATTAGATTTTAAAAGAAACTTAAATAATCCGTCATATCGTAAATAATGCAGAGAAATAAATTACAAAAAATTACAATTTATGAAAAGCTTCTTTGTAGCGGTATTATTGAAATAATAATAATATTTATATACATATATACATAGCAATAATTTTCCCTCGATCTTCTTGGTTTAACCAATGCGATAGAATAAAAAAAAAGTTCGCTCATACTAATGTTCAAGCAATATTATTCATGCTCACGGGTATACAGTTATTGAATAACAAAAGAAAAGAAATAGAAAAGATCGATTAGGAAGGAAGTGGCTCGAGTGTAAGCATCGCGTGCGCCTGCGCGCTAAAGCTTATGTTGATCGAGCCTAATGCCGAACTCCGCCGCCGACCGATCAACCGAATCCGCGCAAACCATAAACGATTCGAGGATTCAGCTCAAGCGCCAGTGATCCAACCACAGTGGCTCTCAACTACGCTAAGCCGAGCTTACGTTTAACCGGGCCCGGCACTACTCTGCACATGTTGTGTAACGACTACTTACCTCTCTTAATACCCGTAATAATTACTTCTTTATCCAGTTAGCTCTCCTTACGCTTCCTACTTACTTCAAGGTTCATTTACTTTTGTTATCTCTTATTTTTGCCTCGTCTTACAATTTAATTCCCCCCCCCCTCTCTCTCTCTTATTCCATTTTATGAAACATGATTCTCATAGCGGTCTGTAGTTTAATTATGCCAAACAACTAAAATTCTGTCTTTCTTCTTTATTAATCTTGCGTTCATCATACCTCGAAAACATTACGAATTACTTTATCCGTAAGTGAATTATTATTTTATTTTATTATTTATTTATTTCACTATCTAATCGCTCGAGTATTCATTCATTAATTGCCCGGATTATCTTCTTCCTCATCCCTCCTTCATCCTTATCAACACTTTCCATTAGAGCACCGCACGACCTTATCGTCAATGGAATATTGAAGCTCACCTCATAAAGCCAAGCGCATCCTCATAAATTTACAATCTTACTCAATCTTACTCAAAGGATCAACATATCGTATAAAATGATATCGGATTATGTACGGCGTGTATAAAAAAAAAAAAAAAAAAAAAAAAATGCCGGGCTTGTATGGCTGTAATACGTATATGTTTATGTATACTCAGCCGTCTGAATACTTTCACTCAAGAGATACAAATGCTAGTACAGCGGTAGTAGTAGGACAGTTTGTTGAAAATTAAATGTTAAAATGACTTATAAAAGGCTCACCTTCGCCGTTGCTCTCCATCCTCGATGCCGTGTTTACTGTATCTCCAAATAGACAGTACCTAGGCATTTTTAAGCCTACGACACCCGCAACACACGGACCTAAAATACCAGGTTTATTATGCATAAAAGAAAAACACATTTATACCTAAGAAGTTTTTATATAGCTAAGGTTTTTATCTCCCTCTCTTCCTCTTTCAAGTTCTTTGTCCTCTTTCTCACTTAGTTTAGAACATTACCGTATGTTTATGAAGACTTACTGGTTTCGCTCTTTAAACTTGGTGTGCGATAAAGTTTAGATGAAGATTTTAAACACAAAAGTAGTGTTTTAGAGTGTAGTATATGCTTATTCCTCCTTTCACATTCGTATATAATGTAAGAAAGTGAAATACTTGAAAATAAAAATTAAACAGAAATTGAATTTTCTTTTAACGGCAAATGACTATTTGAAGTGATTTTAATAAAATAAACTACACCCAAACATATTGTACATGTATTAATGTTTATATGTACCGTAAATGTAATATGCAATGAGTTTTGTTCTGATAAAAACATTCTTATATTATATAAATGGAATGTAAAATAATTTATAAGTGTTATTAAATTATATAATTATATAATGAAATTCAATTATTGTACCTCAGTTTTATATTATAATTAGTGAAATATGGACTAAGTAAAATTATTGAGTCAAATGATAAGATTATATCTTTCGATATTTAAATATTGAGATAACCATTTTGTTTCGAAATCTAAAATTTGATTAATTAAAGGAGATGTACTCGTAAATTATCTACAATCACATTTAGTGTAAATTTAACTTACATTCTTATTTTCTATAATATTCAACATTGTTTAAACTATAAAATGAGAAGACAATTTGATCAATGAAAGATCTCACTTTTATCTTTACTGCATATTTATTATCAGATTAATTACACGAGATATGTCCATCAGGCCACTTTAAAGTGTGGTCGAAACAGCGATTTTTTTTTTCTTATAAATATAACTTATTATAATTAATGAACAATTTATATATCAGGTCTCAATTCCATATTCATTTCAATAAATTAAATATTTTAATAATTTCATATGAGTACATTGTATTAAAATTTAAATAGTAAGAAGTACTTAACCTAATTAAAAATAATCTTATTTAAAATTCTTAGAGGATAATACTTGAAAATTACTCAATACTAAACTGAGTATATTTCTTCTTTTTGCCATATTAATAAATGAATTTAAAATTTTAAATTATACATACGCATATATATATATATATATATATATATATATATAATTCAATCATTTTAATAATTTTAATAAGAATTTAGCAAAATATTTTCTCCTCGACTATTAATATTATATAAAATATTTTAACAGCACATACATTAATTATAGTTATAATATTTTTTTAAAACTATTTCTAATGTAAAATCCAAACACTTTCTATAAATAATCTATGTTTTCAGAAATTTAACTTACTCGTACACAATACTTCGTATACAACTATTTTTTTCAACAATACTAATAGAAGTTTTGTTTAAATATTACTTTAATACTGTTTTATCGAATATATGTTAGTTCATATTGAAGTTTTGCGTCGTTACATTTATCGACTATCTAGACGAAGTGAATAAAACTGCACAGTCAGAATTTATTAAATAAAACTTTAATCTGAATAAAAAGTATGTTTTTCAAGAACAATAAATATTTTTAAAGAGCCACCGAGACAACAAAAATTTAGCACTCAATCTTTCCTATCGGCGTCGACGGTGAAACTTATTATATCCTAATCTTTTATGTCAATAAGTTACTTTATTATTAAAACTAAAGTACAGTAAATAAAAGACTGACTTTTGAAAAATTGATTTTCATAACGCCAAAATTTTATTCAATAATTCAAAAATATTTTTGTTTTTAAATAGTTTGTATAATATTTCATTTTTCATGCTTTTTGTAGTTTAAGTATTCGATATTTTCGAAACATCAATTTATTATAATTTATTTGTAATCGTGGAAAATAAATGTATTAATGAAATTTTTTTTTCCAGTATCGAATTTACAGTTGGAAAATATAGAATATAGATCAAATAAATTAATCCTTATTAATCATGAAAGTATATAGTTGCAAATAATATAGTCTGTGGTGATACCGTTAGTCATGTATCATAACAACAAATAATTTCGAAATTTTTTTTCTTAAACATATTACATTAATTTCGTTATTTTTCAGTTTCGTCACATCGAGTTATTTAAATTTATTAAATGCTAATTATAATTTATTAAATACAATTAAACTTTATTCTAATGATCTTAAAGTTTTATTCTACTAAAATGAAATTTGACTATTTACTAGTGATAATATGAAATTATATTATATTCTTCATTAAAAGTTTCAAACTTACAATAAGTTCATATTTGATTCTAAACGTAATAATTGAAGCGATGACAACTGAAGTGAATTTCCTATTTGTTATTTATATATACATACATACGTGATGTATTATTACTATTTATTGAATACAATATTTGATTCTATAAAACTATGGAATATACTGGCATACTTACACAGAATATTTGTAAAATATATTAAATATTTTCAGTTGTATAATTAGAATGAGATTTATTTAATTAATTAGAACTATCAATGAATTTTACGAGAAAAAAAGTGAGATTGCATTAGAATAAAAACAATATTATTAATATAAAAGTAAAATTTTATTTTTATGATAGTTCTTTCCATTGTTTATGGATATGCGGTACTATTTATGTAATATATAAAATTTTTATACATAAATTCATGATTTTTCAAATGGCTGCTTTCTTATAATTCACGAATAGTCACGAAAATAGTGAACATTTAGAATTGCAAGTAACGTGCGACAAGTACAATTAGCTTTTTTGTGGTTTATGTCCATTGGTCACATGTTCTCGCGTTACGGAGATACTTTTTACTGATCCATCTGCCATTTCTTTTGGTACATCAATTTTTCACATGACAAGAGATTTTCTTATTGTCGATATTTATATTGAAATTTAATTGATCGTCCGTTCACTTTCGTGTAAATGAATCACGTCTTGACGCAATGTAAGAAGATATATGATATATATATATATATATATATATATATATAATTACTTTAAAGTAGTAATAATCTTATCATGTGAGAAATTATTACAAATTAAAAAATTGAATATATAAAGAGTTCATAAATTATAGGATTACCACTATTTTAATATATTTTATGAAAGAAGTTTCACGGGAAAAAATTGAGATTGATGTTCCTCTAATATTGTCACTTTTTTAATTAAATTTTCCAGTTTTAAATTAAATAATAAATTAGAAATAAGATTAAGTCATATACACGTTATATAGGCTTTATATGATGAATAATCTTCATTTTATTGATGATGTAAAATAATTATTATTTAGTGCATCAACATCAGCGTCACAGAAGTTACAAAATTATAAACAGTTAAAGAAAATATTGAAAATACGTTGGATGATTGGTTACGATTATTTTTTTTTCCTATTTAATGCACATATGGGTTTACATATGATTGTAACGTAACAATAAATTATTAAAATTCTTATTTTTGTGACCAAATTTAAAAGTTAGGATATATAAAAGTAATATTGCCAGTAGTTTTGTGCGGATCCTATGAAATATTATAAAAATAAAGAAGATAAATTATTTTTAGATTTTTAAACTAATTTTATTTTAATTTTATTTAAATTTTATTAAAATCTCAAGCGTTGTCATTTTTCGTAATTAATGAAATATAAAAAATACCTATTCGAAATAAAGAAAAATAAATTTTAACGATAAAATACAAGCAATAATGTATGTCAATGTATCTCTACATAACTATATAATATATTATTGCAAAATTAAAACAATATAATACATTATTATCTTCTTAATGAATTTAAGTTATGTAATTTATGATTAATTTTAAGATAGAAATTTAAAATGAACGTTAAAAGGCACACAATTTAGATTTAACAAACTATTAAAAATATGAGTTTATGGTTAAAATTGACAATCTCTAAATTTTGTTCGATATAAGAAGATATAAGTAGTATGAAAAATGATTGAAATTACAATTTTACTTCATCATTATATATTAAATTAATAAAATTTTATAAAATTGAAAAAATTCTAATATTTTCGTACATATAACATAAAAATAAAATTAATCGGATATTAAAGGTAGATTACTTTTTGTATAAAATTCTGAAAACTTTATTAATAATTCATTGCATTGATTCTTTCAACTCATGAAATTATTATAATTTTTAATTATATTATTTGTATACATATTTGTATTTGTAAAATTCTTTACAAATTATCTATGAGGAATGAGAATGGATATTTAGAATAGTATTAAAAAAGGGTCTTCTGTCTAAATTTTCATCGTACATATTCTTTTTAATAAATATTATATTATTATTATTATAACACAATAATAAAAAAGTGTAAGAGGTTAAATACTTTAAAGTTTTATATTAAAAAATGGATATTTATTTTTATATTCATTAATTTATAGCTTTTTTTATTACATTTTCATTCGCTAAAATAATCCGACAAAAATAATCTTTTCACATTTTCATTTTAGTCTTTTGTAACTTCGTTTACAATAAAAGCAATCGATTTTCTCATCATCATGTAGGTGTTAATCAAAATATTTTTTCTTTATACTAACTTATTTAAGATATATTTTTACTCGTTTATTTACATGGGCACCCAAAATTCTTCATATAAGCATATCATGCAGGATCATACATAATATGAACTAATGGAAAGAGAAATGTTTCAAGAAACATAACTATTATCCATGCCGAAGTAATTTTTTTTCAATTATAATTACTTTTTTGTACCGAAACGTTTTTGTGCCATCGACTCATTTATTTCTTTTATCATTACAGATCAATAGAAAAATAGAAAGTAATCGAGACTACAGGATACGTTAGGGAGAATTTAGAAAGAAGAAGTTCGAAAATCGAGGGAGAAATGCGTAGTGTGGGGGTGCCCGCGCGTATGAAAGAGAGAGAGAGAGAGAGAGAGAGAGAGAGAGAGAGAGACAGAGGGAGAGAGAGAGACAGAGACAGAGGGAGAGAGAGACAGAGACAGAGGGAGAGAGAGAGAGAGAGAGAGAGAGACAGAGATATGAAAGAAGTAGATTTGTGCAACATTTCTGACTCTTGTATAAAACATTTCGGAAGTAGAAAGATTAACGAGCTAGTGGAGTTGCCACAAAATTGCTTGATGAGTACCATCAATTGACTGCAACGTCTGTATCGACGAGACGATACGACAAACAACTTTTCCGGATTTTCTAATTTTTCCAGCTACTGTGAAGTAAGAGTCTTCTTTTTCTGTGTAAATATCCTTTTTAGTGTATCTATAATTTATATATATATATATATATATATATATATAAAAACGAGCAAAAAAAGGAACGAGAGGAACAAGGAGAAGGAAAAAAAGATATGAAGCTAAAGTAAATTTTCGAAGCACACGTCGAGGGATAAATAAACCGAATGAATAAGGGCAGCCAAACTTTTTTCCTTCTCAAAGTTCTATTTACTAGCTTAGCGAAGTTTAAGAGATTGAAGTCCTTGAATGCTTCTTACGTGGAAAAAATAATATGCCCTATGAATCATTTTAGCTGCTCATTTATTAGACGGCTTTAAGTATATTATCATCATAAAGATTAATTTATATAACTAAATTGAACTTTATAAAATGCATTATTTTTTCAGCTGATGACTACATAAATATATTGATCGCATAATTTAAAGAAAATCTTTAACTAAACGCATAATAATGTCCAACCATACAGCTTACAAGCCAATATTTATATATCAACTTTGTTTTAACAAGTATAAATATTTGTTCAATCATTTACAACAATAACAATATTAATAACAATTAATATGACAATACAGTTCACGTACAAGAAATTAATAGCAATTCATTTTTATTGTATACGTTCTCTATCACTTCTCTATTACTATATGAGGTCGATAAAACTATACTTATAAACAATGCTTATAAACAAAATCCTTCTATTCGTCAGACGCAGACTCACTGACATTATTTAACAAATCATAATTTTAACTTACCACTGTGCATGCCAATACGTAATTTCAGCTGCTCGTTAGGCCTGTGTCGAATACTGAATGTCATTACTGTATCTCTTAGGGCCAAACTCATTCTTGCTATTTCCCTGGCGTGGTTCATACCATTTCTCACTGGTAGACCAGAAACAACCATATAAGCATCTCCTATAGTTTCCACCTGAAATGTATTTTGCAAAATAACGTAGATCTTTTACATTTTTAAATCTGATAAACATGAAATCTGCTGCCGATAATTCATCTACGATTATATTCCAGCTACGAATTTTTTCCAAATCAACATACATTTTGCTTCACATACAGAGCAAACAAACTTTTATAAATAATAATTCTCGAGGCATAACATCTACGATTTATTTATTCATATATTAATGAAACGTTAAAACGTTTATATAATTGTGCTCTTGCCATATATATATATATATATATATATATATATATATATTGGCTAAGAATGATCAAAGAATATTATTTGTATTAATTAATCAAAATTATATCATGTTTAAGAGTATTATAAGTAACATTATTTCATACAGTCATTTTATTTTTTATTATATATTTTTATTATAAAGCATTATTAAAAGGACAAATACTCATATAACCCATCGATCAAAGTTAAGGAACAAACGAGTGTTGCTGAAGAATAAAAGTGACTTTTCTTTTTAAATCTTCTATCTGTATTTTGAGAAATTGAGTTAGACCCTTCATACCAGGATTCTAGATACCTAACAGGGCATAAGCTAAAACGATATTTTTTCTTTTTCTATCTCTAACTTAAGTTAAGCTTTCCAGTTTCTAAAAATGTTAACGAAAAGGAATATTGCTGTTCAAACTCGGTGAACATAATACCAAATTCAATTATATAATACCTGCATATTTGTATGCACACACATACACACACATACACACGCGCGCGCACACACATTTATAATATATATATATATATATATATATATATATATATATATATAATCACTCGTTGCTCGTCCTCATTGTTTGAATATTTTCAGTAAATTTAATAAAAATACATTTGCATGTATTTTTATTATTAAACAGTTATAATTTAAATTATAGAAGAAATGAATATATATATATATATATATATATATATATATATATATACACATCAAACTCGTTTATCTCAACTTTGAATAATTTAAGATAATAAGCTTTTAACAATCAAATAATTATAAAATGAATTTAAAAAACCCAACAGGTATTCAATTTATATAAATAATTAATTGATTTTTAATATTTTGATTATTGTTCACAACTATTGATAATATATAAATAATTTGAGAAGGTAGAAAAACTATTTATAAAGTAATATAATATAAGTAAAGAAAATAAGTAAAGAAATATAAAGTATTTAAAAATTGATTCAGGAAAATGTATTATTAGAAAATATTAATTAAAATATTCATACATAATAAAAAATGTACATTAAAATTTTAATTATGAATAATTTATAACTGTTTCTTTTGAAAACTTTTTATCAATTGAATTTTGTTTCCTTATAAACAATAGTCCTTATATATATATATATATATATTTCCTTATGTATACATAAAATGTATACAATAAATATTTTCTTATTTATATTTTAAGAAAACATTTTATACAAATAATTTTTCTTAAAAAATCCTTTATTTATATCAATTATGTTATATATTTGGATTTTAAATTAATTGAATCTATTGTATTTTAAAATTTTAAATCTGTAATAAAAGAATTTATACTTTTAATTACTAAAAAGGATTGCTAACTTGTAAAATAAAATAATCGATAATATTTGAGTTGAGAATTCGACGACTAATTTGATAATACAATTATTATTAAAATAAAATAATAGCAACAAATTTACTGCGCCAAATGTATGCAAATTAAACAATAATAAATCGTGATGAATATTAACCGATTGAATGACATTTTTCGCAGTCCGTTAGTCATCTCACTAAGCCTGGTAATTATTGTAAAAATTTCTAAATGTTAAACTAAATAAAGAAATTCAACTTTCGCATCTAATAGCGATCTAATGCGCTTATTTATCGTAAAGCAGCAGTTGCATTTTAACTTTGATACTCTAATGGATTTATGCCGTATTCCCGCATTCAGGGGCTTTTTAATGGACATTGGACGACGACTTCTAGCTGAGAAACTGCTTTGCAAACTTTGCCATTGGTTGAATGAGTTCTATGTCGGGGTGGACATACATTTGAATTGCAAATTAGTTGAATTCAAAATGTAACTTATGCGTGCATGTTTACGTATGGCTACATTGTAATGATTTTAATGTGTCATCGTCACTTTTCCTCTATAGTTTTTAAACTGTTTTTAGCAAAGAGTGATATTTTATATTATTGAATTATCAAATTGTAATATATATAGTGAGTATTTTACCATTTATTTATCTTGTAGCATTTTGAAAAATTAAAATGAAAGCATAAAGTTACAGTTCTCCGTTGTTAACATTTTCAGTTAAAATCTTCATGGAAACCATTGCTATAAAGTTTTGTCACGTAAATATCATTTGTGTGCATCTATTGATAAATATCAGATAAACTATATTTGTTAATAAAAAAAAAAAAAAAAAAAAAAAAAAAAAAATCGTTATAATATATATTTTTTTTTATTCAATTATTTTTTATACTACAATGTTATTAATCTTTATGAGAAACATAGTTTTTTCTAATTCAGATTGTTTCACTGAACAATCAGTATACAAACATGTAAAACTAGAAACTTACGGATTCGAGAAAAACGTGAAAAACTTTTGTGATTTTACAGGTATAGGACATTCAAGTGATTAACGCTTTACTATTCGATGTCGTGGTGAATCGAGAAAAATTTTTCCCGACACGAGCAATGCAGATAAGAAGGAAAGCGTACATGACAAGATTTTTAAACATTTACCAACCCATTTTCCAACACTTTTGTCACTCTATCCCTCCAGCTGCTACTTACACGTGTTAAATAATTTATGTATAGAATTACATTGCTACATGAGTATTTACGTGTTAATTAAACCCAAGCACTTTTGAAGGATAAATATAAATAAAATTTATACAAATTTTTATATATACTGTAACACGAGTTGCCGCAGTCCTGTTAATAAGGCAAAATGCCAGTAAACTTCCTGGTTAATGCATAACATTATTATTGTCACTTTTGTTAAACGAATGTCACAATAAGGTGGGGATAGCGGGGCGTGGATGGGAGGGTGACCGGTGAACCACACGTTCAATTGGGAAATGCGAGAAAAGGTGCAAGATCAATATATTTAAAGAGCGAAAGAGCAAGTATTAACCACAAAAGAGATAATAAGTCCATATGATAAATTAATTACTACGGCTGCGGACCAATTGATTTAATTGATTTTACCTTTTTTCTCCCAATTTCATTATCGTAACTTTGTACAGATGAATTAAATTCACTTCAACGGAATGTTTACTGTATTAAATTATTATTACCCTACTCTACTCAAATTGACCCTGGATGTGCTTGTGCTCACTGACCTCGCCAACAATTTCAGCTTTGACCCTTTTCCGCATTCCTTCTATATACCCTTCTCTGCATCACCCTGGCAAAATAAAATCCTTTTGGCGCTCATTAATCGGTGGCTACAAGTCAGATGTGTTCGAAAAGAGACTTACAAAATAATAGAGCAAACGGTAAAATATATTACGTGCAATAGTAGCAATGCGGCATAAAAAGAAATCACTTCCTCCGATTATTTAACCCATAAACATATTCAATAATATATGAATTATTTTAGGATGATACTATTGTAGTTCTTTAAGGAGTCTATCAATCATTTTGGTCACTTATAAATTAAAAATTATATGAATATTCGTTGTATAAAATTCGTTATTGAAATTAATATCGAATTAACATTAAATTAAATATGGTTTTTAAATACTTGTAAAATGAAACATAAAATTCATTACTCAGATTTCTTACTCTTCAAAGCACAATAGAACAGTTTAACTTATTACAATTTTCTATTTAAATTTAAATTTCATATTTATATATTCGACAATCAGATAAAAAATAATTCATATTTTTAACTTATATATTTTATAATAATCAAAATATATATATATATATATATATATATATATATATATATATATATATATATATATATATATATATATATATTTTGATTCTACTATAGAATGTGTAATAACTTTTCAATTAGCCGAATTAATTGAATATATTGTAATGTATAAATAATTAAAAGTGTAATAAGCAAATTTTTAATAATGAAAATTATATTATTCTTGTTTAAAAGTTAATGAAAGCATTGCTATTTTTTAAACATAAAATTTTTCGATATAAACACAAATTTTTCATTCATCTTTAATGTAAACCAAGTAATAATAAATAATTAGATTCTTTTGTTTTAGGTAAAACATATAAAACTACTAAAAATTAATACAGGTAGGCTCGCTCATGTAAGCGTGTATGCGCGTGCACACGCACTCTCTCTCACATGCACACACACACGCGCGCGCACACGCACACACACGCACAATAATACAGCACAAAATACAGCACAAAAGGTATCATTCTTTCACAAAAATTTTTTCGTATGTTCTGATTTATATAATAGAGTTATGCAACCCACCTTGTAAACATCGAAATTTTCAATAATGGAATCGAAACACGTATAGAGATCGTTGAGGAGGTCAACTACTTGTAGTGGTGTGCTTTCAGCAGAGAGGCTCGTAAAGCCTACAATGTCACTAAAATAAATCGTCACCTGATCATATGTTTCGGCGATTACGCTTCTTCCTAGTATTAGCTGTGACGCAACAGACCTGTGCACAAAGAAAGAAAAACAAATACAAAGTAAGTAATTATAATGACTTGAACTCCTGGAACATCATTGATCACCTCGTATATAATAAAATTTTTCTGTCCCATACTTTTATGTGTATTATTTTCACGCTAAATAATTTTTTACAATACTATTATATTTGTTAATTGATCATCCATGTGGAACATAATTGTTTGTGTTATTTTTTTATTTAATGAACGTTAGTGAATATGTGTCTGAATAAAAACTTAAAAGAGTTTTGCCCCACAATTAATTCTAATGTATACAAATTCTATTTAACTGTCTTCTCAATTATATGATTAATTAATGACATATTATTGTCTTTATCCATAAAAAATAAATGCTTATTATCTTTATTATCTTTTAAATTTAGATGAGATAACTTGTAATAGTAATGAAACTAGTTTTTCATAAAATTTGATAGAATTACAGCGTAAACTTAAAATGATCTATGCTTTTCAGAGTTTTTAATTTATTCACAATACGAAATATATTTTTTACTTTATAACAATAGCTATTTACAAATATTATTATCAGGCACGTTAATTAATACAGGTGAAGTTGGAATGATTATAAAAATATCATTCGTTGTTCGTGTCATCTTTTTACTTTTATTCGAAAACATAAAATTGCATAATTAACTAAGCAACAAAGTTGCAGAGAAAGGAAATAAATTTACCGTATAATTGTTAATTTCATAAATATTTGAAAAGAAAGTTGGCGCCTTCTTTTTTGTGGTATTTATAACGCATTAGAAGATTTGCTTTTTCAAACTGTATCTTTGATGTATAAACGTAAACACATTAATATGTTTAATTACTTATATAAGCTATTTGAATCATTAAATCCTTGCCGTTAAAGTATTTAAAGTATGAATAGATAAATTAAATGACAAAAGATAAGACTTCGATACTCTATTGCAAATTCTTACGGAATAATAAAATTTGCCATACTATTGGCCAATGAATTTTTCAAATAAATAAATATATTTTTTAAATATTAAAAAAGTCATTTATTCAACAATATTGATTCAATAACGCAATAAAAAATAAATATCAGCATTATTTATTTAATCAATATTTCTGATTTCTTCTCATTTATTTCTGAATTTTATTTAAATAAATGTTTATTTTTCATTTTAAGATAATATTTTATATATTACTTTAAGTGTTATACACAAAAAATTTCAAATTATTTTGAAATATCATCGTTCGTCATGTGGAAAAGGAAAATAATTTACTTTTCCATCTAAATGTGTATTATAAACAACTTTATTAAGTGAATAATTTTTTCATATTTATTTTACAAAATATTTGTAAATATTTGATATGTTATGAATATCTTTCCGTATACATCAATCATCAAATGATATATGTTTCTCAAATGACTGGCAAACTACATATTGATGCGTACTACTAAAAATACAAGTCAAGTCATTGCCACATACCACGAACTGTAATTTAGATATAATTTAATGCGTATTCTGATATGGACATCATAAAGTATATAAAAACTCATATAAAAATTGACTAACTCAAGTATATAGAAATTCACAAAATAGTTTCAATGCACATTTCTTTGAAATTCCTTCGACAATTTATAATTATGAAATCCTTAAAATACACGCGCACGCGCACACACACACACACACACATACACAGCCACACACATACACACACACACACACACACACACACACACACACATATATATATACGTTTATATAAATATATATATATAATTTCCTAAATAATGACGATAAGGGATAAACATCGTGAATTTTGCTTCGGTTATATCATATTTATAAATACATATGTGTGTGTTGTCCACTAATCATTTGCGATTATTTTGAAACAAATATGTCTTAACCAAGCAGAGTTTTTTTTACTTGACAGCTTCTGTCTTGCCTACGGCGATGTCAACGAAATACATGATGGCCATTTAGTTAGGAATCTCTCCTATCTCTCTTACTATATTATACGCCTGTTTCTGTCGGACAAATTATTAGAAACGTGAGTAAGTTTAAAATTAATGAAAACATTTAGTTTATGTAGATATGACAATTTTATTGTCACATTTTTCATGAAATAAATTTCGAAGCTAATTTAATTATATCTAATATTATGAGATTAGAAGAAAAGCTTTTAACTGAAGTTAACTTTTCATCCTCAATGAGATTTATCAAAACTGACAATACTTATTCTGTCAATAAATCAAGCACATTGATAAAGATTTTAAAAATACCACAATTTTCTTTCGTCTCCACGTGCAATATTTCAATGTCAAAATACGTTAAATGAAAAAATAAAAAAAATAAGAATACCTATTATAAGCTATATCATAGAAAAATACGATGACGTGGTGAATGGCCATTTACTTGATTTAAAATTCGTTTAAAAGAAAGTAAAGTTGCGCATAATAATTAAAAGTTAAAATGGGATAATCTGAGTCTAAATAACAAACAATCGAGATTAGCGGCACAAGTTAAATGCAGTGAGACGTCAATAGGAGAAGTCTAACAATCCTTGACAGCTGTAAAATTAGTTATCGCTCCTCTCTAAATAAATAAAAAAGTTGAAAAGTCAGGGAGTGCGAGGAGAGAAGATATATATATATATATATATATATATATATATATATATATATATATAGGTATATATCTATACCGATATCGCTTCCATGACATTTTTATTTCATTCGAGGGCAGCGAAGTGTGACGCCCCTAAGATTTCCTTAGGGGCCTCTTTGCCACCTCTTTCGACGCCGAGAGGCGTGGAGATCTCGTCTCTCGTGCAGACGATAATCCGGAGAGAAAAGTCGGACGAACGGGAAGCAACTTACTTGGGCAACAATTGATAGAGCAACTCCTCGCACTTTCGCTTCTCCTCGAGATAGTCAGCTGTGCGCTCGGCTACGAGATTTTCCAAATTGTCGGCATAATGTTCCATTCGCGACAGCAGATTGTCCAGGAGGTTATTGATTCGGCTGTCCCTGAAAATTCAAGGAAATAAGTATACGTGAAATGCGAAAGGTTCCTCGCTTTCTGAGAATTTTAAAGAGATTTTCCTCGTGTCATAGCTTTTCTATACGACCACTTTATTTGCGAGTGGAAAAGCTGATAAATAAATAAATAAAAAAGCTGATAAACGGCTGTAAAGCACTTTGCCTTATGAGTTCGTGTTACATTTTTTTATAAAGCTTTCGGTTTTTTTTTCTTCATAATTTTGGCGTTCGTACTTATAGAATATCATAGGTGATTTCCCATAATTTTAGAAAGTGGCTGTTCTTAAAATTATTTATACACAATATCCACAATGACTGTTGAGACTGTATTTTTAACCATTTCGGTATAATAAACGGAATTAATTGACTATTTAATGTTAAACCAATGTAATATCCTTTAGAAATATAGATTAATCAAATTTCAGTAATTTAGAAAGTGTCAAACAGATATTTCAATAAATTAATTTCTTTATTTTTCTGCGTATTTTACATGCTTCCAGTTCCAACAATAACATAAAGTATGCTTAAACGAATATTTATATTTGTATTTATTTATTTATAGCTATATTAATCTATTTAAAATATTTAACTTACTTTATTTTCTGAATTTACTTGTGAGACGATAGTATTTCATGTATTTTGTTAAAATATTTTGCACACTTCAAACACAAATAATATAATACGAACAAAACTATAATATAATATATATATATATTTATATTTTGCAAGACAAAACATCTATGAATATTAAGAAATTCATCACTAAAAATTTAAATATTAAAATTTAAATTTAAATTATTGAAAGAATTATCTATTTGACAATGAAATTACTAAAAGATAATTTGCAGCTTTAAACGAGACTGTGAACTTTAGATGTCGTAGTTGTATATTTTTAATAGAGTGGTGAAGTTCGACATAATTTCATACTACATTACAATTAAACAAGCAATTTAATTTTCTTTTAGAACTTTCCTTAATAATTTTATAGGAAACACACACTTTTAATGCATTTTTACGGATAATGGCGCCGTAACACTGACATATTTTTACTTCGCAGTTCATTCTATTCACTATACTATCTTGTTAAAGATATATTATTATCTGACTTTAGTTGCATATCGTATGGATTTGTTTAATTATTTTAACGCTCAATTAATTGAAAATTACAGTTTCATAGGTGACTTTTTGAAAATTAATTTTCTTTATTTTTCTAAAGTGTATAATATCTAATTAGCATTTTTATAAATAAAACAATTAATATAATTCGAAACATACTATTAAATAGAGAAAATAAAAATCTCATCAAACGTATATTATAATTAAATTAAAATTTTAAATACTTTTTTTAATATTTTTGACTTCAAATTATTATTATTTAAATTATCAAATATAAAATATGATAATAACAATGTGGAATATAAGTGTTTGTTCTTATTATTGTATAAACGATTAGTAGCAATAATAAATTCATAATATAATAAGATATTTGTAATGGCTCAATAATAAAATAAGACAATAATAAAATATTTACATAATTTATAAAATAAATATGACAATACTATGAATACGATTTATTTATTTAATCATTATTATTATTATGCCATGCAGCAAATATTGTTCATTTATAAATTATTTTAACTGACAATACTTCTTTCGGTAAATTAGCGGGAAAATTAAATTAAAAAAATTAATGAGAATTGTAATTTTCACAAATTACGAATAACTAACATTTTTTTTTATAAATTTTGTCTCTACTTCGTTTGCAGAAGAAAACATTAAATTTCCTTTCGAATATTAAATCTAATAATCGCAAAACAACAATATTTTTTACATTTTTCAACTTTCTTCTATACAATGACATCAACAATAAGAATAATAATATGGAACGGTAAACATCTTATATTGACAGAAGCTACAAACAGAGTGATGTAAAGAATGAGAATTTCTTTGTGCTATACTTCACCTCTTGAAGTAATTCTTTCATATAGAAGGAAGTTGCTTGTTAATAAAAGGTACACAAGTTGCCAATTATAAAGCAAAGAAAGCGTATAAAAAATTATTTGATGCGCCAAGAAATGTTTGCCTCGTAAGACAATATTAAGTGCTTCGTCGCTCCTGGAAATTAGCATCGTGTCAAGGTATGACAATTATAATCGATGATCGAGGTTAAATGGATTGACGACAGATTTCGCGACCTCAATAAGCTTAGTCAAAAAGTTCAATGAGATTTCGTCTCGCTCGTTATCTCGAAAGCGAGTGGATATAAATGAAACTCGACGACGTACGACTTATGCACACATCCCAACCTCTATTCACGCACACATGTGTATTGGCTGTATTAGCCACTAGATAATTTCTGATAGTTAGTAGTATAAATTATATGCCCGAAGGATGATTAGTACTAACGAGTGATAAATTGCGATAAAATAATTGCAATAGCCATTTTTGAGGAATTTTGAATCTATTAATTAGGGAAAGTTAACATTTTCATGTACTCTTGGCGAAGTTGATTTTTCATTGATATATATTCTTACTTTTCTCACTTGCAAACTATTGTGTTTATTGTAAATATTTCATAAGTGCAAATAATGTTCTAAAGTGCTATATTTATCCATCATGATAAGAATAATTTAAATTTTAGTTATAATAATTAAATTACTTAGTATATGATAAAAGACGTTAATAAAAGACGATTGAAATTACTATTATTGTGATATTCTAAAGATATCCTTGTACTTCCTACTATTTTAAAAAATTATTTATACACTTAGGATGCAATTGTAGAAATTTCAATTCTAGATATGCAAAATGAGATATTTATTAACCATTTGGTCAGATATAAAGTTTCAAAATGAACTACAATTATTGTATTATCAAATTTTAAATAATAAACAAGGACAATGTTTTGAAAAATGTGCCAATTCTTATTCAGTTCGCATTCATTCGACAGTCATGATGGTACATATTTTGTATTTAACATATTGACAGCCACGAATATTTTCATTTTCGACTAAAGTTCATAATTTTCTTCTATCTTTCCCCCTTAAATTCCTCATATTTACTAAGGTTTTTTTTTATGTATTAATTAAGAAAATTCAAGGAATTTCAATGAATATAAGCTTCATTTATATATTATACATTTCGTTTCGAATATAAAGGCTTTCTAATAAAAATTTCATTCTATAGAACTTTTATTCTAATACAGTATATGTAGAAATAATTAATATTTAATAATGTAAATAATAATTTTCGTTAATAAAAGTCATATATTCTTGTGAAGTAAAAACGTAATAATATAATTTTTCACTATATTTATTGAAAGAATAATAATATCTATAATAATCTTATGATAAGCAGAATGTTAAAGCAAAAGTAAAAATCAATTCAATTTCAAAGTTATGAATATGATTCAAATATACGTCTTTAACTATATAAATGGAATATTCTAAATTGAATTTTTAAAAATACACGATGTTTATAATATCTAACTTTAGTCAAATATTTCTTCTCGATAAGTGAATTTATTTCTTTATAAAACATCGTCTTTGTTTATGAACTATTTATACGAAGCTATTTCCTATGTTTCAATAATATTTAATATAAACATAATAATAGTCGTTTATGAATAATTACATTGATTAATATTCGAAGAATTTTTAATACGAAAACGAATAAGAAACTAAACCAATAATTTTTTGTAATAAAATGACGGCTTATCGCGAGAAAGTTATACGCAATTTTTCTGAAAGTCAATTATATTGTTTTAAGAAGTTACAACGACTCGAATAATTAGCATTTTTATTTTTCTTATGATAATATAGTAATAAAGCTTGTAATAAAAAATTTTCTCATCAAATGATAAAAATAATGAAATAATCTAGAAAGGAAATACGAATCTTAAATGAAGAAGTAGGTCATATTAGTATTAGTATTACATTCACATTGTAACGCACAATTCGATTAATAATTGAATATAGGTATGTGCAGAAATATTCCATTGTTATCGTTCACTGATCGTATAAATGTGCGCTCTTTTACTCCACTTCATAAAGTAGATTATTAAAATTTTAAAAGGAGTACTCGCAAATGGTCATGCAATAGTCATTAAAAATGATCTTGCACTCAACAGTCTCTCTCTCTCTCTCTCTCTCTCTCTCTCTCTATATATATATATATATATATATATATATATCCCCCCTCTCTCCTCTCCCTATATCGCTCTCTCACTCTCTCCCTCTATAATTCTCCATTCTTTTTGCTTTATAGAAAAGATAAATTTAGTTGATGTAGGGTCGCAGCAAAATATGGGATGAACGCGAGCTCATGAACCTCGTGCACTAGGAAATCCGATCAGCGAAGAGGACTTTAACAATGTTACGTCGCCTCAAAGCAACCTCACTTTCATCTGTACATGTCAAACAGAAACAGAATTTATATGGAGTACGTCGTGGATAAATCGATAAAGGTTTGTACGTTAAGGGGTGTGATTCATACAAAGGCAAGGGGTACATTTTGAAAACAAACTCGTAAATGTAACGATGATGATTTTTATGTGAAAGTATGACATTTAAAAGAAAATAGAAACTAGTATGGATGGCCAACAGTTATTGTTATTACTATGGTATAAACCATGTAACGGCTAACGGTACTACGAGATTCTTTCACACTTTCAGTAAGCACTATTCGAACATCCGTATAATTCATTTTTACATTCTTTTCAAACGCGGATAAGGATTTTCAAACTAACGACTTAAACTTATTTTTTAAACTGCTTAATGCTTGTTACATAAGTTATATTGTCATTAGTATTTGACTAATCGTCGGTAGTACGCGCAATGCATTATTCATATTTTTATAAGCAATCCACTTTCTGTGTATGTTGTACAATGGCGTAAATTCGTAAATGTTCAATTAAGCAGATATCGAAACATTGCTAATGAGTTAAATGAATAATCAACTTTATAATCTAATCAAAGGATCGATTACAT